TGCGGGTATGACAGTGTGGCATACACCACGAAATTACCCGATTACATTCCCCCATCCCACCCCTTCACCCCTCATTCCTCGTATGAGGGAATTTTGTTTGAAGGAAAAAAGAGTGAAATATCGGCGAGACAGGAGGTAGAAATGATTGTGTGCGCTAACGTGCAAGTAGCCATTAAAAATTTTTATTATTTTTTTTCATTACGCAGGTAAAATAATCGCTGTCTTGGGTTTATCACGACACCGGGCGACGAATTCCTACGACTCATCCGCATTTTTCAATGGGCTGCCTCACGCGATCATCTGTTTTTTGTTTGCTTTTGATGAGTGAGGAGGAAATCTTGATGAAGAAATTGGAGTAAAAATGGGGTTTATTCTTTATGGGATTTATATTTTTTATGGATTTTTTATGGCTTGGGGGTCAGTTAACAAATTCTGGCGGCTTTTATGATGATTCTGGATAAAAATTGGGGGCGTTTTTTTGGCCAAAATATTTAAGATATCCGAGTAGCTTTTATACACACGGACGAAAAAATTTAATAGAAAAACCTATGGAATTCGTTAGAAAATTCGATTGAATTTCTATTGAACTGTTCTATTAGTTTTTGGCCGATTCTATTAAAATGTTTAATAGAGAATATTCAGTAGAAAAAGTCAATAGAATTCAATTTTTCTGTATAACTTATTCTATTGAGATATTTTCTATAGAATTTCCTCGGCTCAAATTTTCTAAGTTTTTTCGTTTGATTTTCTTGATGAGAAGAAAAGAAAAATAGAATGAAAAAAACTTGGAAAATTTGAGTCGAGCAAATTCTAGGGAAAATATATGAAAAGAATAAGTTATATAGAAAAATCGCATTCTGTTGCCTTTTTCTATTGAATGTTTTCTATTGAACATGTCAATAGACTCAGCCAAAAACTAATAGAAAGTTTAATAGAAATTTAATAGAATTTTCCAACGAATTCGATAGGTTTTTCCATTAACTTTTTTCGTGCGTGCACTTTCCGCGCGAAGAAACGGTTCATTTCTTTCCTCGAAGGGAACATGCGAATTTATCATTATTCTAGGTTCTTTTTAATTAATTATCGATTGAGAAATTTTCTCCTGGGGGTATTCAGGTGTGAAGTTGATGGAATCATGAACAGGTGGCGTTGATGACGCGTTTGGAATTTTGTTAATGAATTCGTTGGAGGTAAAGAACTGGTTTTTTGAAAGTTATATGGAGTCGTAAAATGTTTGGAACGGACACTTTTGGCAAATTTGTAATGATCTCGATAATGAGTGATTTTCCAGAAAAATGTCAATTAATATTTTTTATAGTTTATAAAATTCTTCACAAGAAACATTTTATGACCTTTTTTCTTAAATCCACGTATGAACGAGATAAATCGCTAGTTAATGACAACTAAAAAAACAAATCGTCGTTGAATTGAAGTTTATCGAGTTTGTGGTGAATTATTTCATGTAAAAATTATGAAATGGATTAATTTAATTTTAAAAATCACCTTAAAAAATTATCAACTCTCGAAACAAACTCAAAAAATAAAATAAAAAATCTTATATTTTTTTTGTAATGAAATTCTAAGAGATTTTTTGAATTATGTGATGCAAAAATTAGAAAAAATTAGAGTCATTTTCAAAGAAATAATTAACTGTTGAAAACAAAATCAAAATTATCAAAAAATCGAGATCAAATTATGGAAAAATTATGAATTGATCAATTATCATGAACTTTTCGGTTTCTCATAAATCATTGACTTTTTAATGAATTATTTGATGCAAAAACTATAAAATCATGTTCAAGGAAATAATCAACATCTAAAAACAAACTCAGCATTATAAAAACCGAAATCAAATCGAGAAAGAAAATGAATTGACGAATTATCATGGAATTAACACATATGTCACGCCACGAATAAGAAATAAATCTGTCATGGCAATGATAATTCTGCCCCCCCCCCCCCCCCCCCCCCCCCCCCCCCCCCCCNCCCCCCCCCCCCCGATGTGTCACAGAAATCGAAGTGAACCCCATGTTGATTTTGGCGAGACCCCAGACACGTGGGTGGACACAAGTGTCTTGAACAATTCCTGTTTCTTATTTCCGAGGGTTGACGTGTCTATCTTTTAACCACCGCGTCATTACCACCATCTACACATCACTCATTTTTCTCCATTCATCCAAATCTGTATTTTGTAATTATTTTTGGCCCGAAATACAGTATTCTTACTCGTCTCGGGGAATAGAGTTGAGAGATAAAAAAAAGGGGAGAGCGAGAGGAGGTGAAAATTTTGTGGTAGAACCAACGTCACGAGTGGCTAGGGGGCGAGTGATGTTACTGTAGTGGGTGAGTGCATCTGGATGACTGCCAGAATTCAAAAATAAGCCCCACTATTCTTGAATATTAAATGGAGAATCCAGGCTAGCCCTTCCACATGATTTCCCAATCTTTGCACAATCTCGCGAGTTTAGAAACACAAGTGCAATGAATAAAATTTTGAAAAAACTCCCACTCCCTCAGCCATCAACGGTCATAAGAGAAATTTTGATTAGAATTCAGTAGTGAAGTGGTAAAACGGTTTAAGTCGATTTAAGCCGAATATCTCCGAATCTAAAGGAGATAACGAAATTTTCGTAACAATCTTTTTTTTAGAGCAACTTACGTGCTACAAAAAAGGTCATGACAAAAATTCAGCTATCTCTCTTAGATTCCGAGATATTCACTGAAAAATGGCCAATAGTCAAAATAGACTTGAACCGTTTTAACACTTCGCTACTGAATTAAAAAAAGAAAAGAATCGTAAGAGAAAAAAACTATTCTTCTACTATTTGCCGTTTTGAACACGCAAAGTGCTCTTCATCAGGGCATTCATTTATTCTCTAGATACAAAACAAAAATATTTTCCCATGAAATACGATTCAGCACTAATTCTGTTTCGGAGTCTATTGCAGTCTGAATTTTAATAAAATTATGAAGCAAACCTATTTTTCAAACCATCAGTTCTTCAAAGGTTGTGACAAAAGTATCTCAAAGAAAAAAAATCTGAAAATATGAAAAACCACGACAAATAAAATTTTGAAAAACAATCCCTAGACTGAGAGAAAAAAAAGACAAATTCTCAATGAAGAGAGATATTAATTAATAATTCTCTTGGATTAGGTGGACTGAAGGTGTTCTAGGTTGAGCGACTGATTCAATTATCATTATTGTTTAATGCATGATGATGAAATTGTTTCAATTATGTGAAACAAATTCATTCATTTCTAATTAATTTTCCGTTAAAATTAAAACGGTTCAAATCGATTTAGCCCTTGGCTGAGTTTTCGAGGAATATCTCCGAATTTAAGGGAGATAGGGAAATTTTTGAAATAACCTTCTTTGTAGAGCGACTTGAGAGCTACAAAAAAGGTAATAACAAAAATTTTGCGATCTGCCTTAAATTCCGAGTTGTTCATTGAAAACTGATCAATAAATATGTTCTTTTCGTCTTCTAAACAACAACTTAATTTTGTAAGTAATACGATCTTCATTTGGATCTACGCAAATTTATTGATGACTAAAGAAATTATTTATTTGAATAAAAATGCAAATGAAAATTAATTTTAAGCTTCAACAAAAGCTTTATTGCAAGATTTTTGAATAAACCCATTTATTTGATTGAAATAAACAATTTAACTTTCAGCTAATAAATTCTTTATTCGGATCAATAAAATATTTGTTTATATTTAAAGAAACCATCTTCGATGTGAATAAAAATGCAAATAAAAATAAATATTAAGCTTAAACAAAAGCTCTGTAACAAGCATCTTGAATAAACCCATTAATTTTTTTTGTTCCATGGAAATGAACCACTCCTCTATTAAACACTAATTTAATATCTAACTAATGACTTCATTACTTGCATCAATAAAACATTTGTTTATATACAAAAAAATCTATTCCAAGTGAATTAAAATGCACATAAAACTGCATTTTAAGCTTGAACAAAACCTTATTACAAGCATTCCGAATACCCCATTTATTTGATTAAAATAAACCATTTCTCTGGTTGATGCGAGAGTGGGGCGAGAGAAAGAGCCCAGTGGAGATCAGACTCGCGAGATCTGTGGGGCCGATCAGTCTCCCCTGCGATGCTCCGCAGAAGGTCCGTTCTCTGAACGGACAATCGCCTCAAACTCCACGAAAAACCGCAAAGCCCTCAAAATTAAACCGAAAACAGAGCAAAAATAAAATAAAAACAGCTTCACGTAATTAATTGTCCAGTGTTTTCTCATCCCTTTTGTTCTGTTCCGTTTTATTTTGTACTATTCTGTGTTGAGCCATTCACATGACGAAATGAACAGATAATTGTCCGAGAGAATCGAGTCCAGACGGAACTTTCCCCTGCGCACCTGCGGGTCATTGCGATTTCTATCGTCAAGTTATTCTCTGCAGGAGAAAATGCCCGAGGGTAAACACTGAGTAGACGCAGAGCAACGGGCGGAAGGGGGAGTATGGAGAGCTGTCTGATATGTGCCAAGTCTTCCTGATGATCACGAAAGCATCTTTAAATCTCTGAATCACGTCAATCTCCCGCCACGGGGGATAAATAATGCGGAGGCGTGCGTGTATATGACTCACATTTTTGCTGATGCGGACAGTTGGAGCGCGATATTGGGGACATACAGGTGGATTTTTTGAATTTCGGGGAGAGAACTGGAAGCTCAGACTGTCTGTGCACGTGTACCACTGGTTTATGTTTATGAGAATGCGGATTTTTGGGGGATAATTATAGATGGACTCTGGTTACACTAGTTTTCGTGCGTTGAACCTGGCATGTGATGTTTAATTTAACTGCGAGATTTAAAGAGAAATTAATTAAAACGGATTAAAATTGGTGGATAAAAATTGGTTGTAAAATGTTGAACTAGGGGTGGATAAAAAGAACTGAATGGAGAAAATAAATGAATAAATAGCGCAAATAAAACAAAAAATATTGTTTTTAAGGTGTTTAGAAAATTTTAGGAAATGAATTTATTTTTATGAGTTACAAGGACAGTTTAAAATTGTTGAATAAAGAGAATAAAAAAATTAATAACGTAATTGGAACGAGAGTTATTGTTTATTCAATTGGAAGAAATTGTTGATCGATTGAACCGAGTGAATTCGGACGTTTTGAACTGAATAAAAAATTGTGGTTTCTTTAAAAAAAAATTGGAAAAATGTCGGGGGACGCGACGACGTCAGATGAAGAGGGATCGCAAGAGGATTCGGGACAATATGACATTGATGACCTAGAGATGGTCAAAACCATCGGTGAGTAGTCGCGGGAAAACGTGTAATTGAGACAAGTAATTTTTTTCAATCGCTTAATTCTCCTAGGCATTTCAAGTCACGTGATTTTTTATGCACTTCCAATGTTTCGATATCCCTTCTAAAAAAATTGCAGCCGGCTGTATCTTCGTATTTCCTAGAAACTCCATGCATTCCCTCAAATTTTCTGGAAACTCCTTGAATTTTTCCCGAATTTTCTAGAAACTCCCTGAATTTCCTCGACATTTCTAGAAACACCTTGAATTTTTTCGAAATTTCAAGAAACTTCTCGAATTACCCCGAAATGTCTAGAATTTTCTAGAATTCCGATAGATGGCGCGGCACATAAGGACCGTTTTTCCAAAATAACCCCCCATATTGAAACCATAGAGGTATCCACGTCACAAAACATAGGCAATATCTCGAACGAGTGGAGAAAGTAAGGCGTTTTCATGAGTGCAATCGCCTTGCGTCGAATTTTCAAGAAGCCCGCCTAACAACCAAAAGAGAATTGAATACCATTCTATGAAACATGAATAAACGAATCATAATTGTCCAAATCAGTTGGGTCAGAGGAAAATAGAATAATTCAACTGTCTTAATATTGCGTTTACTAAGGTTTTCTTGGAACAAAGTTGATTAGAATTTAATAGCTAGAATTATGAGATTATCTCACATTTTTGACGTCAAGGATAGGAGAATGTGAATGCAATATAGTGAAAATGATGATCGATTTTTTCACTTTGAACAAATAATATTAATATCCAAATACAAAATTTCTGATATGAATAAAAAGAAGCTGTGACTCAATATTCCAAATGAAGTTTTAATTTTTAATTTGGTGCTGAAAAAACGAGATGACAATGCGTGTGAACTAACTAAAAATTGATAACAGTGTGGGCACGCACTTTTACCAGAGTATCAACAAACATTGAATTCCAGAAATTCACGCTCTAAAGTGTGTTCTAGAAGGGATTGAATTGTAATTATGATTAAAATCCTATTCAGTGAGCATAGGAATTGGAACATGAGCAAATCATTTATTGAAATATGACAATTCAACAGCTGATAAATTGGGACATATGATCCTCATCGGTCGTATTGCTCTTTGCAATGAGAATGATTATAAACAATTCAATGAAAGGCCATTAACACGCTAGTGTAATATATTCATGATGTAACGCGGAACAATAGTGATAAACGAGAATTTATTTCAGTTCCGCGAAGCGCTAACATTCTGAGATTCAAGCCATTAAAAATAATTCACTTCTTCCCCGTAAATATGGTCTACATAATAGGGAATTATTCTCTCAGTGTAATAAATTTTATTCAATTTTTCGATTTTAATTTATCGAGTGAATGTAACTCGAGCCAGGGGAGATCGAGTTACCCCGAGGTTTGTTACCGGTCGACGGGGAAAGAAAGGCGATAACAAGTGGGACAGGAGAGTGAGCGGCGGTGGCATGACTGCCGCGAGAAAAACTGTCCTCTGCACTTTCTGATTTTTTTTATTCGCGTTTTTCAGTAGTTTGTGGACGTTTTTTTAACGTGCTGACACAATGTGAAACCGGTTTCGTTGGGGTTTTAGGATTTTTTTTCAGCTATTTTGTTGGGGGAATGGAGGAAATCGTGGGAAAAAATTCAGGGAAATTGGAGGTTTGTTTTTTTACGGAATTTGATTTTTAGAGCATAAAATTGAGGAATGAAAGAATGGAAAAGTGACGAAATTGGGGAAATAATTCTATTTTGGTGGCGCGAAAGAGGAATTATTTTATTCAGTCAATTACTTTTTCTGTCGTAAATTCATTTGTTTATTGTTTATTTATTTATTTTAAATTTTTTCAAGAAATAAGAGAAATAATTTCCTTATTTTTTTAAATTAAAAAAAAAACATTTTTGTCACCATTTCCTTATAAATTTCGGCATTTTTTTTTGTATAAAGTCGATTTTTAACGATTAAGTTTTGGGTATGTAAATTATTTTTGCAATCTCGAAAAAAAATTCAGTGCGAAAACTTGATTGTTCATAATTTTAATTTCCAAACAAATTGTGATTTTAAAAATTAAATTATTCTTTTTTCATCTTTTTCAAAAAAATCGACTATTTTTTAACATTCGTAAAATGTTGTTCAAAATGTAGAATTGAATTTCAATAAAAAATAGCGGAATCACTTGGATAATCTCCAATAAATATTGTACCTTATTGAAAAAAAAAATAAAATAAAATAGAGTGAATACGAATAATTGCCAACGAACGCCCGACGATACCATAATTTTCCCCGCGATTAAATCGAATTAGTAAGTGTCAGTGTAATTGATAATGCAACATTATAAATTAAAGAGACGAGGATAACCGGAAGTCAGTGGACAACAGACACCTGTCGCTGTTCGTTAACGTGGAACTCGCAGACAACCGCCAATTTCGATTATTTATAGTGTAAATAGTGGAGGGAATTGCGGCATTCGCCAACTGCTCAGGGTCGATAGAATTTTTCATTGAGAAGTTGAGTGAGAAGTCTCTTCAATCATCTCTCCGTTCATGAAGAGAAATGTTGTGGAAAAATTATTCACAAAATCACAGAATTAATCTTGATATTTATTCCCGTTTTTTCACGTCAAATGAAGTTTTTTAAACATAAACTAATGACTCCTTGATCCAAATAAAGATTTTATTAACATGAAGTGATTGTTTCTTTCACTGAGAGAAAAAATTTGGTTTGCCGAAAAATTATATGATCCCCTGAAGAGACGTTTCGCCGTGTTGAATGAATTTACTTGCGGACAAAAAGGAAAGTTTCCAACAAAACATGATAATTTTCGTAGTAGTAATTGTTCTCGTGAGACATTTATGTCTTTCGGGTAAATACATTCGTTCTACAGAGAATTCAGTAGTGAAGTTGTAAACGGAGATAAGCCGACTGATCTCCCAGTTGAGTTTTTGAGGAATATTTCCGAATCTACCGGAGATAGCGAAATTTTCGTAATTACATTTGTTGTAGCACTCAATCAGCTCCACAAAAAAGGTTATAACAAAAATTTTTCTATCTTCCTTAGATCCCGAGATATTGATTGAAAACTGGTCAATAGTCAAAATTGGCTCATCTCCTTTTACCACTTCGCTACTGAATTATATGAGCCTCCGGTTTTACCAAGTCAATGGCATTGAGTAGTGTATATCTTCGTCCAATAAACACTTATAATTTCCATGGAGCAAATGATAATTTCAAGAGGAAACTACAATTTTTGCAGTTGATCAAACAAATTGCTGATGATGACGACAAAAATTTAATTTTCGTGAACGATATTAAATTTCTCCTCCACTCCATCACATATTCTCACGGAGAACGTTCTGTTAGTGTTGCATTCTTCATTATTTCTTTGAATAAATTGTTTATTTGATTCCACTAAATGATTTATTTGCGATTAATGAATTATTCATTTCATCTAATTAACCAAAAATACTATTGGAATGAATAAATTACTGAAAGAAATAAACAATGTTATTTAACTTCAATTTTTTAGTAATTTTCTCTCAATTTTTTCATTTCTTCACGTTTCTCTTTCATGATTTTTTCTTCCTTCAATTTTGTTTTATCCACAGGCACTGGCACATTCGGGAGAGTTGTGCTGTGCAGGCATCAGGGCAGTCCCTTAGCACTGAAGGTTCTCTCCATGGTGGACGTGATACGACTTAAACAAGTGGAGCACGTCAGGAATGAAGTTTCCGTTCTCAAAGAAGTTAATCATCCTTTTATAGTCAATATGTGAGTTAAATTGATTAGTTTTTTTGCTGAGTACTGCGCGTATGAGGGGTTCTAGGAGAAAATTGCAGGATTTTTTACGAGGAATTTCATCGGCTACAAAAAAGCAAGCGTTACGGAGATATTTACGTAATTGAAAAAACCGTCACGTTTGCTTCACTACTTCGTGGCATTTTCCACTGGTTTTTCATTGAAATTCTCGTGTTGGGGAGTGGTTTTAGAGCAGAATGTCATTAGACATTTTTTGTGGAAAATTTCATCAGCTATGTAAATGGTTTTTTGACATTTTTTGATAAAATCATTCATTAAAGAGATACGTCAATAGTCGATGAACCCATTCTGTTTTACTTCAATTTTTTGCAGAATGTTTGTACATTTGGGACTTTTAAGCCTCAACTTGAAGCTTGAAAGTCGTAACTTGGGACTTTTAAGTCTCAATTTGAGACTTTCAAGTTTTAACTTGGGACGTTTAAGTCTCAATCTGACACTTTCAAGTCTTGACTTGGGACTTTTAAAACTCAATTTGAGACTTTCAAATCTTAACTTAGGACTTTTAAGTCTCAATCTGACACTTTCAAGTCTTAAGTTAGGACTTTTAAGTCTCAATGTAAGACTTCAAGGCTTAACTTGGGACCTTTAAGTCTCAATTTGAGACGTTCAAGTTTTAATTTAGGACTTTTAAGTCTCAATATGAGACTTCTAAGTCTCAACTTGGAACTTTCGAGTTTTAACTTGAGCCTTTCAAGTCTCAACTTGAAAATCGAGAATTCCATTGAATTTCCACTGCAATTCCTCGCCTAAATCAATCTAAATCGACAATTACAACTAAACTATCCACAAAATTCCAATTTTCCCTAATAGTGCCATTAAAAAATCTCGTAATCGCGCATGAGAAGATGAACAGTTGACCCTTATTATGCTAATATCAACGTTCGTTCAGGCTTTGGAGTGGTAGAGACACGGCCAACGTCTACATGCTCCTGGAATTTGTCGCTGGTGGTGAACTATTCTCCTACCTCAGAGCAGCGGGAAGATTCTCAGTCCCCACTAGTTGCTTCTATGCATCGGAAATTGTTTGCGCCCTGGATTACCTGCACTCAAAGCACATCGTCTATCGGGATTTAAAGCCCGAGAATCTGTTATTAGACAGCCAGGGCCACCTCAAGATCACCGACTTCGGCTTCTCCAAGAAACTAACAGACAGGTGAGAAATACTCCCCAATTCCCGCATGTTTTGCCAAAAAAACATATCAATATTTATACATTCAGTCTAAAATTACCCCTCATTTTTCCCCCCAATCGTGTTATTACCACTAGGCAAAACAAATACCGACTGATTACACCCGATTGTTTTCACCCGCATGAGCTTTTTACTCACAAAATGAACAAAATAAACATTTACGTTTTCTCCTCGTAATTCATTCGGATTGTCTTGCGAGACAGAGACCAAGCTTCCGCCTGAATGATGATTCAGTACGACATATATACAGTCTCAACGCCGAAAGAGCTTTTGCGGTTGTTGGTTGATCGACCAGATGTGCTCGCATAAACACGTTTCAGCGCTTTTATTACGCTTTTATTTTCGGATTGGGGATATAAGCAGAAGGGACTGGTGATAGCACGAGGTTGATGACGACATTTTTTTTTTTTTTGAAACAACTGACGCGTGAGACTGCGAGACGCTATTGAATTTCCTGGAAGTATTTATTTTTAGATGTCTAGTGTCACTGAAAGTTTAACAAGAGTTGACAAAATAGAAACTTTCAGCTCTAGCACTAAAAGCCCATGGCGATTTCAACGAGAATTTCCGAACAGATGACTTGTTTTGCCCCAGTTGTTTTTGAGATACTGATTGTTTTCCCGATGAAGTTATAGAAAATTTGAATTCAAAACTTTCAAGTCCCAACTTTAGTGATGCAAGTCTTAACGTGGAACTTTCAAGTCTTAAGTTGCGATTTTTAAGTCACAAGTTTAGACTTGCAAGTCCTAATGTGCAACTTTCAAGTCTTAACTTGGGACTTTTCAATATCAAGTTGAGACTTTGAGTATTAATGTGGGACTTTTAAGTCTCAACTTAAGACTTACAAGTCTTGGGACTTTCAAATCTGAGCTGGAAACTTCCATGTCTCAATGTTGTACTTTAAAGTCTTAATTTGGAACTTGTGAGTCTCAATTTGAGACTTGTAAATCTTAACGTAGGACTTTCAAGTCTTAACTAGTGATTTTAAAGTTTCAACTTGAAACTTTCCGGTGTCAACTTGGAACTTTTAAGTTTCAACTTGAAACTTTAAAGTCTTAACTTGGAACATTTTTTTTTCAAGTTGACGCATTATTTTCTTTCAGAACATGGACGTTATGTGGAACCCCAGAATACCTAGCCCCCGAGATAATCCAAAGCAAAGGTCACAACAAGGCCGTGGACTGGTGGGCCCTAGGTGTTCTAATCTACGAAATGCTGGCAGGATACCCTCCCTTCTTCGACGACAATCCCTTCGGCATCTACGAGAAGATCCTCGGCGGAAGGATAGAGTGGCCGAAGCACGTGGACCCCGTCGCGAAGGATCTCATCAAGAAGCTGTTGGTAGCCGACAGGACCAAACGACTCGGTAACATGCGACAAGGTGCGGAAGACGTTAAGAGACACAGATGGTTCAAGCTCATAGATTGGACACTGGTAAGCCATTCACAATCACTTCCTGCTCTAATCTGGTCAGAAAGTTGGCTTCTTCCAAAGCAATCACTGTTGATTTTTCAATCAGGTACCCCAAAGAGCGTTAACTCCACCGATCCGACCTAGAGTGAAGGCCCCAGGTGACGCCAGTTGTTTTGACGATTACCCAGAGACAGATTGGAGATCCCAACCACCACTACCACCGGATCAATTAGCCCTGTTCCAGGACTTCTGACGAGCGCTTCTACCTGACTAGCCATGTTGAAATAACGAGTCGCCCCTCGGGGTTGCTCATCCCTTTAAACATGTTATGGACGTGCATCTGGGGATAGACTAGCAGTCGTCAAAATTCCCAGGAGCTCTGCCAATAAATTTTTTATCACCGTTTTATCTTTTTGTAAATAGACTACTGTTGCTGAGCGTTGAGAGATTATTTATTTGTTAGATGAGTGAAATACCGCGTTGAGGCTTTGTAAATAAATAAAACTACTGGGGACTCAGTGGTTTCGATCGTTTAAAACTCTGTGACTTTATTTTCGTCCGACCAAACCCTTGGTGAACAGCTGTTGGTAAGTCAGCATTCTGTCTTAATTTGGATTTTGCGAATGTCGTAAAGGGATTTACGACGGGATGAAGCCCTTCAGGAAGGGCTGTTAGAAGTCTGTGAATGTTTGGAGGCTGTATTATGCAGTTTGCGTTGATGTTCGGAGATTAGATGCTTTGGAGAATCCCTGCGGCCACGGGAGATGGCGGCGCGATGCTGACCGCGGAGGTACCACTCCCCAATGCGATCGATGAGATGCCTGGCGGTATAAATATTTATGGATATATCCGCAATAAAGGAACAATGAGCGAGTGTCCGTTTTTATCGGGAATAAAAAGCAATTGGGATGAAGCTGTTGCAGAAGAATGAGATGAACCTTTTTGATCCCGCGATAAGCGATTTATAGGAAGATGGTTTTTTCAGAATGGGTATTGATACGATATTGCTTATTCTTCTAGGGCTTTGAATGACTCAGTAATGGGTTAAGGACCAAGGTCAATAAACTCGCTATAAAAGCAGGTGGACACCAAGTTTATCTTTTGTTGTGTTTCGATATCAGAAAGCTAAACAAGTGAGTGATCAGCGATGAATTATTGAAACCGCATTACTGGACTTGTTTATTATTTCAGGAAATTGAAATGCGGTCTAATACAGGCCTAGTTGATCCTTTCTCATCAGGGCAAAAGGATAATCTTCCCTTTAACTCCTATCGATCTCGTAGAACTTCATAGCGTCACAATGAAACAGAATCGGAATGAAGCTGTTGCGGAAGAATGAGATAAACCTTTTTGACCTCGTGATAAGCGATTGATTGAAAGATGATTTTTGTCAGAACGTGTATTGATACGATATTGCCTATTCCGCAAGGGCTTTGAATGACTCTCGGTGGTGGGTTAAGGACCAAGGTCAATAAACTGACTATAAAAGCATGTGGACAACAAGTTTATCTTTTGTTGTGTTCCGATATCAGAAAGCTAAACAAGTGAGTGATCAGCGATGAATTATTGAAACCGCATTACTGGACTTGTTTATTATTTCAGGAAATTGAAATGCGGTCTAATACAGGCCTAGTTGATCCTTTCTCATCAGGGCAAAAGGATAATCTTCCCTTTAACTCCTATCGATCTCGTAGAACTTCATAGCGTCACAATGAAACAGAATCGGAATGAAGCTGTTGCGGAAGAATGAGATAAACCTTTTTGACCTCGTGATAAGCGATTGATTGAAAGATGATTTTTGTCAGAACGTGTATTGATACGATATTGCCTATTCCGCAAGGGCTTTGAATGACTCTCGGTGGTGGGTTAAGGACCAAGGTCAATAAACTGACTATAAAAGCATGTGGACAACAAGTTTATCTTTTGTTGTGTTCCGATATCAGAAAGCTAAACAAGTGAGTGATCAGCGATGAATTATTGAAACCGTATTACTTGACTTGCTTACCATTTCAGGAAATTGAAATGCGGACGGGACACATCATCAGGGCCTCGATCTTCATAGTCGGCTGTCTAATCAACGCCCAGTCGATCCTTTCTCACCACGGCCAAAGAATCATCTTTCCTTTAACTTACATCGACCACTCCGTGGAACTTCACAGCATTACAAAGGAGCTCCCCCTGCAGACAGGAAAATGCCAGGACTACAGGAATCGGGACCTAGTGTTGAACCTTCCCGGAGTTTCTCCCCGGAATTTGTACCCGCGTTTCATCGACAGTTACCGAGTTTCCTGTTTATCCCTCACAGACAGTTCAATAGAGCGCATTCAATCCGGATCGTTTGCGTATGTATCCAATCTCCTCTACCTCGATCTCTCCCGTAATCGAATCCAACTCTGCGACCTCTTGAACTTCGGAAATCTGGAGAGATTGAAGACCCTCGTGATCGATGAGAACGACTCTCAAGGCCAGGAGACAAACTTAATCCTCTCAACATCGAGTTATTTCTCCCAGCTGGAGCACCTCTACCTCCGCAAAAACTTCTTACGTGACATCAGCATCAACCTGAGACAGCACTTTCCATCATTGACCCACCTCTACCTCTCCGACAATCGACTCGACGGTGGAGTGTTCACTTACTTGCAGCTGCCACACACCCTCACCCACCTCCACTTGGAGCGCAATTGGATAAGAGAGATGGACACACGTGAGCTGATCCATCTGTCCTCGCTCTTTTTGGACGGCAATCGCATAGCGTCGATTTGCTCCTGGCAGTGTCATAGCGGCAATCACCTTGCGCTGAGAGGAATGACCGGATTGAAGTTCTTATCGCTGTTGAGAAACGAGATAAGCTACGTCGAGAGGGGGTGCTTTGACGAGACGAGGAGTCTTCAGAGTCTGAACCTGGCGCACAATTCGATCAGTCATTTACCCCCGGGGACCCTTGATGTTCTCCAACGGCTGGAGGACTTGTCTTTGAGCTACAATCGTCTCACGCAGGTGCCGGACGTCAGCAGATTGATGATGATAGGAAGCTTGTCCCTGGATCACAACAACATCGACAGAATATCATCTTACGCATTCGCAAATCTGCATTGTCTCAAGTGGCTGTCCCTCGGGGGCAACAGGATCAACTCTGTCGAGGCAAACGCCTTTGTTGATCTTCCATTCTTGGAGGAACTTGACCTCTCCGATAATCAACTGTCTTATCTCCCCTGGGGATGGATCTCCGGCACTTGCCTCCGACACTTGGACGTCCGCAATAATCATTTCACCAGTTTTGAGAGCTTATCACTTCGTAATCTGTGGACCTTGACTCATCTGTATGTGCAGGGTACACCCTTGAGCAATGTTATTACTACAACACATTGGCAGATTGGGTATAATACAACGGTGCATGTCAAGTACAGTTCGTCCGTCAACCGGGGACCTTGTTATGCCTCGTGTGATGGTGGTTACACCATACCGAGGATAACTTTCCGTGATGAGTGGACTCGGTAGTTTCAACTTGCTCGGTAACTCGTTTATACACGTGTGGAGTAGAGAATTTAGGGGGGTTGGGGGAGAATTAGATGAGTTTATGGGAGGGGTGTTGATGTTTAGAGGGTGGTATTATTGCGGGGAAAATTGGAGCACTTTGGAAATTTAGGGGGGGTTTGCTTGCTTTGATCGAAGGAGGAAGTTGTTGATACTTTGGACTTTAATTGTCTGTTATTGTTATCGGATTTACGAGAGAATAAAGTTGATGAGGTCCGTAGTCGATGTGACTTCTTATCATTATATAAATAGCTGCGGCTGACACACTGCCTCATTTATGATTTGTTCTTTGGATGAGAGAAAATCTGAAGGTAGTTGATTTCAAAGTTTTACTCATTGAGTTTTTTATTACAGATTTGAACATTTAGATGAAAGACTCCGTTCTAATGCATTGAACATCAATTGCATGTCCATCATGTTTTCAGATACTTTGTTGAGTCTCGCTTGCTTTGATACTTTGTTGCCTTATCACGTCTGTAATTACTATCGGTTCCATGAAAAACGTTCTGCGTAGCAAGAGTTATCAGTAATGAATGGAAGAGTGATACCATATAAATAGCAGGGAGTTGATACAATGTATCACTCGCAATTCGTTTTTCAAGTGAAACAGTCTGTGGTTCTCGAAAATGACTAATTTGAAAGTATCACTTGCTGCGTTTTTCTTGTGTGTCTCGGTGCAATCGGTTCCGGTGGAAACAAATTTAAATGAAGTCCCTCCAAATATTCACATTTCACAGATGAGTTAACTCGACTTACCTCTTAGCTGAGTTTTCGAGGAATATCTCCACATCTAAAGGAGATAGCAAAATTATCGTAATGACCTTTTTTGTAGCGCGAATTGAGAGCTACAAAAATACTCCTGACAAAAATTTTGCCATCTGCCTCAGATTCTGAGATATTCATCAAAAACCGGCCAATAGTTGAAACGGATTAAAACCGTTTCATCGCTTCGCTAAGCATCATTCGATTTTACGATATCTCATCGCTGCTTTTTGATCTTGCATATTTTTTTCTATTTTCAGAAGCCATAGATCATGCCATCATATCACTGCTTCCTCCTCTTTGATTAGAGTTCTGGCATACAGTGCGATACTTTGTAGCATTATCATGTCTGAAATTGTCATTAATATGGGGGAGATAGTGAAGATGTTTCTCACAGCGCAGTCTATGTACTACATTTCCGAAAATATAATACTTTATCGTTCGAGCTTTGCACTGAGAATTTTTCTTCTTTAAATCTATTTATCGTCTCCCTCATTTCTTATCAACCCTATATTTACGCGGGACAAGTATGGCCATCAGCAGTGGAGATCGTCTGCTGGTGGTACACAGACGATCCTCTTATTATCCAAGATGAATCTGTACAAAGAATCGGTCCTCTTGTTGTTACTGTCACTATTGCTTTTTGTGAGTAGTGAATTACGAGTTCATAAAAGTGAAGAAGTTCCTTCATGTGAAGACGAAGAAGATGGTCTTGGTATTCACATCAATCTCACTAAAGTGGAAATAACAAAAATCAGAGCCGACTTTCTGACGAGCTCCCTCGTTACGTGTCTCACCTTGAAAGATAATTCCATATTGGAAATTGATGAAGAAGCATTCAGAGGATTGCCAAATTTGCACTACCTTAACTTGGCTGGAAATAAAATTCCGCAAAACAAATTTGACTATGACTGGTCAACTATCAAAACGTTAGTACTGGATTTCGCTATTGCCGCGTGTGAAAACAATAACGGTTATAGGAATGAAGAGTGCTATCGAAATGGATGGATCCCCCAGCCGAAGTACAATAACTTGCGTTTTCCAATACTTTCAAAATTACCAAGTTTAGAAAAATTGTATCTCCGTAATAATGGCCTCCAGTCGCTGACCTGGAATCGACGTATGGCAAACCTCACTCATCTGTACTTAGATGAAAATAGAATCAATCTCAGTGATCTCATCGCATTCATTCCGCCCACATTAACCCATCTCTCTCTTTCTCGTAATCTCATCCAACTGTTCGCACATTCTCCGATATTACTCCAATTGGAGGAATTAACATTGGATGGCAATAATATTCGGGTGCTGTGTTATGATTACAACTGTTTCGAACCAAACCCGCAACTGCCACAAGATCCGGAGGAACCTACAAAGTTGCCATGGGAAGAATCCGATGCTGACAGGGTAAAAGTTGGAAGTTACATAGACCTGAGAGGTGCCACAAAGTTGAGAAAATTATCGATGGCATCGAATGAATTAATGGTGATTCGTGACGGTGCTTTCACGGATCTGAAGAGCTTGCAATACCTGGACCTCTCCAGTAACTCTTTCCGATACATTCAGCCGGAGGCCTTCAGAAGTGCGGAGAATCTAACAACTTTATTACTGAGTAATAATACACTGAAACACGTGCCAAATTTCGCTCACTTGGAGAGTTTGGAGATGTTGATGTTGGATGGGAATGAAATAACTGCTGTAGAATCAGCTCCATTTTTGAACCTCACAATGCTGCAAATCTTGAGTTTGGCGAAGAACTCGATCAATCAAATTGATCCGATGCTTTTGGAGGCGCTCCCTCTGCTGTATGAACTGGATTTATCAGGGAATCGACTGACGACTCTTCCAGGGAACTGGATGTCACCTGAGACCGCTCTCCGTCGTTTGCATTTGGATAGTAATTTATTCACGAATATCGAGAATATGGCTCTGAGGAATGTTACCGATTTGGAGTACCTGAACATCGCGGGAAACCCGTTTCAACTCTTATCAGTCAAGTCCCTGATACAGTTACCGGAAAATACTGTCATCAATGCTGAAGTTGTTTCTTTTAACGGAGACAGGGTTCGATGTTCTGCTAGCGGTGTCTAGTTCAAGTTTACGGGTGCGTTGACATTTAATCTAGTACTGATAGCTGACGAGTACATAATCAACACTCATTCTTATGTCACAGATAACTTGTGGACGGAATTCATAATCATAATAAAAGAATTAATTGTAATGAAAAATATGAAAATTTTTAGCTGTAGAATTGTTCAATTTCTATAACTGTGGGAATAAATTAAATTGATGAATGCAAATTCTTTGGTAATCCATCGCCAAGATATTTTTATATTCAATTCCAACTCCATATAGTATTTCTTCCCTCATACGTGCGTCTAATTTTGATGATCAAGTATAAAAATGCACGATTCATGTAGAAGAAATATTTTTCCTTTAACACATTCAGCCTGAGGCCTCCACTTCATAATTTATTCGCGAATATCGAAAATATGGCTCTGAGGAATGTCACCGATTTGGAGTGCCTGAACATCGCGGGAAACCCGTTTCAACTCTTATCAGTCAAGTCCCTGATACAGTTGCCGGAAAATACTGTCATCAATGCTGAAGTTGTTTCCTTTAACGGAGATAGGGTTGGATGTTCAGCTAGCGGTGTCTAGTTTAAGTTTACGGGAGCGTTGACATTTAATCTAGTACTGATAGCTGACGAGTACATAATCAACACTCATTCTTATGTCACAGATAACTCAACTTGTGGATGGAATTTATAATCATAATAAGAGAATTAATTGTAATGAAGAAAATGAAAATTTTTAGCTGTAGAATTATTCAATTTCTATAACTGTGGGAATAAATTAAATTGATGAATGCAAATTCTTTGGTAATCCATCGCCAAGATATTTTTATACTCAATTCCAACTCCATGTATCATCTTTTCCCACACACGTGCGTCCAATTCTGATGATCGAGTATAAAAGCGCACGATTCATCGAAGAAATATCGTTCCTCTACAACTGCATAATATCAAATAAAAAAAGTGAATCCATTCACTAAAAATTGACAAAAATTACATAAAATGACTAGATTCTCGACGTTTCTCAACCCAAATAACTGACCAATTGCTAAAAATTCCCGAGTCGATTTTCCAAATTCAAAAACAAAAAAAAATTCTGAAATTTACGCAATTGTTTCAAATCCTCCTGCAATCGTTCAATTGCTAACCATCGGAATAAAAATCGTAGATAAAAGCAAAATCTCCACTAGTCTATCACAAAAAATTGTCCATTTCTTTACCAATTTTTTCCTCACACGTGCCTCCAATTTTGATGACCCCCACAAAAACTCCAATGCACGTCACCGAAGTATTTTACCTAAAAAACTGCAGAAGTCACACAAACAAAAATCACCCACCCTTCCCCCAATCTTCCCACCTGTCGTTTTCCACCGTGAGAACCCCAACCTCAGCAGTCCCGAGCTCTCCAAACCTCCAGTCCCATTCCTCTACCCTCAGTTCGCTCAGCTCCACCGCGAAACAAACACCGGTCTCCAACCTCACCATGTTTACCTCCAAAATCCTAATCCCCCTTTGCCTCTCCCTAACCCTGGTATCGCCGCTGTCAGTGAGGAATTCCAGCTGCGAAGAGGACCTCCGCCTGAACATCAATCTAGCTGGCAGTGGCTTGCAGCGCCTGAAGGACAAATTCCTGTCGAGTTCGCTGATAAATTCCCTCCACCTGGAGGACAACCAGATCTGGAACATCGCGGAAGAGGCCTTCGTGGACCTAACGAACCTCCAGTACCTGAACCTCGCTGGGAACCTGTTGCCGTACAGCAAGCTGAGTCACAGCTTTCCAAAGCTGAAAACCCTGGTCCTAGACAAGGCCTTCACCCTAGTCCCTCAGGAGGACTTGCAAGAATCCTTCACCACGCACTGCTCCCCCTGCCTGTCGAAGCTCCCGCAAAGGGCCCCAAGAGATTTCGGCCTCCACCTGAACATCTCCGGAGGAATGCCTGAGCTAGAGCAGCTGCACCTGCGCAGCAACAACATCATGACGATCTCAGGCCTGCAGAACACGCCGAATCTCACGTACCTCTACCTCGGGAGCAACCACATCTCCAGAGGATTCTCTGAAGCCCTCGTCCCCCCGACGCTGAAGCACCTGCACCTGGAGAACAACTTCATCGAATCCTTCAACTCCTCCGTGACGAGGCAGCTCGAGGAATTGGTCCTGGACCACAACAACATCTACCGCTTGTGCTCAGACAATTGCAGTCAGCGAAAGCGTGAGACGTACGAACACGAGCCGATGCTGAATCTGGCAGGGGCTGTGAGCCTCCAGATCCTGTCGGTAGCTGATAATCTGCTGATGTATGTGGATGAGGGCGCTTTCGACGACCTCGAGAGCCTCCAGTTCCTCAATCTTTCTGGTAATTATCTCGAGATATTCCCGTTAGACGTCTTCGGAAACCTCACGAACCTGAAGTCACTGGCCCTGAGCGATAATTTTTTGAAGGAAATCCCGGATGTCGACGACTTGGAAGAGTTAGAAGTCCTTCTGCTGAACGGAAATGGCGTGAAGACCGTCACCCAAGCGTCATTCACAAATTTACCGAAACTGAAGACTCTCAGTTTCGCTAATAATCACCTGAGTGAAATCGATGCCGGTTCATTCGACGCCCTGACTTCACTCAACGAATTGGATTTGTCCGGTAATAAGCTTCTTATATTGCCGGAAAATTGGATAGCGGGGAGTTTCCTGCAGCGACTGCATTTGGATAGCAATTCATTCACGGGAATTGAGAATATGTCTCTGAATAATGCGAGCTGCATTGAGTATCTGAGCATTGCGGGCAATCCGCTGGTGAGTTTATCCACTAAGGCGCTGATGAAGTTACCGAAGACTGTTGTGATTAATATCGGAAGAAGGGGAGCGGCCGGCGGCGAGAGGAGGGAGAAATGCCAGTGCGATAATCTCATCTGTGAGGAGAGGAGATTTAAGGTGAGAGGGGATATGAAAAAAATTCATGGATAAACCTAGCGAATTCGATAGACATTTTATTGGGTTTCTCTTGAAGTTTCTATTGGCTTTTGGCGGATTCTGTTGAAATGTTCGGTGGAAAATATTCTATGCACTCACAGAAATTTTTCGAAATTTCATGGAAAATATGGTAGCAGTTCTTATGAGAGTGACATCGAATCCGATTTGCGAAAAAAAAGGGCCTGGAATTTCAAGTTTTAGGTAGAATTCGACGAAATTCATGAATTTTCAAATTGTCGCTGAATTTTCCAGACTTTTCAGAATTTTCACGGAATAATTAGATTTTTCTAGACAATCAAGTCTATTTTCTGTAGAATTTCTTCGGTTCAAATTTTCTTCGAGAAATTTGCAGTATATTCATTTGAGTTATAATGCCATTGAAGAGATAGAATCAATAGAATTAGATTTTGCTAGACAACCGAATCAATTTTCTGGATGAAAAGAAAACGAAAATTTCTATCTCTAGTTCCACTGAAATTTCAAGGAATTTCGTCATTAAAAATTCAGAATCCCACGGAAAAATCGATGAGAAGTGTAAATATCATTCAATTATTCCCTGAAAATTAATAGAAATCATTAAAATTCCGGTAAACATATTCTTGCATTTTTAATTACTGGAAAATTCAGTGTAATTTGGCACTTAATATTCATGTTTTCACTAAGAGAAAAACACAAATTATACCATAGCATAAAAAATGAAGATAAAAATTGTATAGTATCAAGTATATTTGAGTTGAAAATTCACTTTTTTAGAATTCATCAGTAAAAATTACTGAATTTATGTCAATAAATTTTTTTTCTGCATGAAATAGCGATGAAAAAATCACAATTCAATTTGCCTTCAATTTTTTTTGTTGCAGAACTTTGAGGGATTGGAATCCATGGAGAGGGCTCAGTAATAACGATACCAGTGAAATCATTCGTCATCATTGTTTTTGCATTATATCATTGTTAAATTTCACCATTATATTTTACGAGAAAATATGCTTTATTGTGTCATTATTTGACCTATTGTTATGGAGGGAAATAAAGGCTTTAGGGTGAATTGAAGAATTGAAATTTAGTCTCGAAATTTTAGCGAGTAGGGAATGACTGCGAAATAAAAATATGTTAAAATAATGCAATTCGTATGGATGGGATACTTGGTCGTATAACTTTCTGGATTGTTTGATCTTAGTGATGCTTTCCGTCCTGACAGTTTTGTCAAATTTTATCGATTAATGATTTCATTTTTATATTGTCTGTAGACTGTAGTTTGATCCTGTAATTGGCCTTGTGCTGTTGGGTCTTTATGAAATAAAATGAAATGAAGTGTAACTTCTGCAAGCAACCAATAAATATATAGCAAAGCAATGTAAAAATTAAATGTACGAATGTTACCGATAGTGTAAATAACCCGGATATTGCTTCTATACTTTAAAACGATAAAAAAAGTACAAAGAATATTGTTCTACATAAAATAACATTTAAAAGTTCTTAAACTTCCGTAAAGTCTGACGTACAGCTGACTCCAAGCATCTTATCTGACCGTAATAGCCTCGTTAAATTGAACTTTCAATGTCATGAAATCATTTAAAATCCCCCAGAATGCCTGGCGGCCACTGGTGTAGCATATAAATTCGACGTGGATACCAGTCCCATCATAGTGCCATCACTTCTTTTCAAGTCAGTCGACTGTAAAGTTTCGAAAAACTCCTGATCAGTGAATTACCGCGGTAATTTGTTCAGAGAAGACTTCTAAAATGGTCTTGTGCGAGACATTGACGGCGATAACGCCCCTATTTTTAGTATTGGGTTGTGGACCCGTAACACCTCCACCCAATCATGATCCACTCTGCGAAAACAGCGACGGGTACCTGAATATGACGAACCGGGGTCTGCAACGCATCGGGAAAGACTTCCTCCGGAATTCGTCCTACACTTGCATCGATTTGTCGGGAAATAACATAACGGATGTGGAGGAGGGTGCCCTTGCAAGTATGACAGAGTTAACGTACTTGAATCTCAGTGGAAACAAGCTGTCACCCGAATTCCTGACGACTTACAGTAACCCGAAGGTGAGAGTTCTGGTGCTGGACGAAGCTTTTGCTGAGGCCGATCTCCCCGAGGACATAAAATATTCACCGACAATTTTGTCAACATTTCCGGAATTGAGGCGCTTGTATCTGCGTCGGAACAATTTCGAAAGACTAATTGTGCCGTCTTGGCGAGAGAGTTTCCCTCGCATCAGACATATTTACTTGGATGACAACAGGCTTCAGTCCGCGAGTTTTTTGACAGTACTTCCGAAGAATTTGACGCATTTATCTCTCTCCAACAATCGTCTGTCGTCGTTCAAAACTGGATCGCTTGAGCATCTCGAAGGGCTGAACTTGGACAATAATCAATTCTCCAAATTGTGTGAAAGTGAGGCCTGCGACGAAGGTATTTATTTAAATGGTGCAATCAATTTAAAAGTGTTATCGTTATCCAACAACAATCTGTCTACGTTGAATGGAGGTGCGATGAAAAATCTGGGGAAATTGAAATACTTGAATCTGTCGGATAATGCCTTATCCGAAATTCCTCATCTCGCATTCCAAAATCTCCGGAGTTTGTTCGACCTCAACTTGAGTAATAATGGCTTGCGGAAGGTTCCAGATCTGTGTAATCTGAGAAACTTGAAATTTTTAAATTTGAGCCACAACGTACTTCTTCACAGTATCGATCGCGACACCTTCTGTGATTTGCCGAATTTGGACCACATTGATTTGACTCACAATGGAATTCCTCAGGTGTCGCCTGAAGTCTTCATTGGCATGATTACCGGTAGGACACCTTTCGTGGAAAAAGCTTAACAAGTGGACAATGGCATTTTTGTTTATAAATGAGTGTAATAATTGTTGCTAATAAATTACCAATTTGCTTTCGAATGGTTTTCTTTGTTCAGTCATGACTAATTCCATATTGATGACAATTTTTGAATGATCGATTTCTGGAAAAATATCAATTTTTTCGAATCTGTATGAAAAATTTAATGTTAATTGGTGTCAATGAACAGAGCTTATCAGAGTCTACTCATGAAAAAATTCATGAAATCCGATTGATTCTTAATGAGACATTTCGAAAAAAATGAGGAAAAAATATCACATAAATAGAGACTTACGGACACGATCTAAAATTTTGATATTCCGACTTTTCAGACCATATTTAGTTACCCTAACACAAAAAATTGAAAATTCAAATTTGAGCGATTCAAAGCTTCCATTCTAAAAAGTTTGGGACTCTGTCAGTGTAAATAAGATATTATTTTTCTATATTTTTACTCGCAATAAAGCTAGTCAATCTCAATTAAAAAAAGAGTCGAAGTAGGATCCGTCTACCCCTATACACTAAAAATTCCATTGTATGCATTATGCATTTATGATCCATGTTATAAAAGAGGATAAAAGTTTTGGGGCAAATGCAACTGTTACGACAATCTCCAAAACACTGGAGAAGAATCACATTTTTTCATTAATATAATTTATCTCAACGGATGTGAAATCAGAATCCACGAAAGAATATCTTATCTGCAGGCGGGCAAATTTTTTTTCCGTAGCTTCATGCGGACATATCAAACTTCCCAGAATACAATATCCCCATTGATGCAAGATACGAATTCGACAGAGATTGGCTGGGTTGCTGATCGTGTCCTCTTGAATCAGTTGGCTGAGAAGTCTGCGAGGTATCGCATCAGTTCCACTTCTGCTTTCCTCAATCAATCAATTAAAAATGAGTCTCGCTATCAAAGTGTTGTTTATCTCAATGTCACTATTTGCATTCGTGCATTGCAAATTCGTGAAATCCACATCTGATCAACTTCCACTCTGCGATGATGTCAACGGCACAAACTTGGATATCTCCAGCAGTGGTTTCACACGCATAGGATCGGGTTTCCTTCGGAGTGCGCTTGTCACCTGTGTCAATCTGGAAAGAAACGGGATAACGGAAGTCGCAATGGACGCTTTTCAGAGCTGTCCTAAATTACGTTATTTGAATTTGGCTAGTAATAAACTTAACATTGAGTTCTTAGGTATTTTTGAAAGTGAGACCATCGAAACTCTAGTGCTTGACGCATCATTTTTTGGTAGGCTTGATGCACCTGGAATACTGATCATATCAAATCAGGGTAATGAGTATGACCAGTATGATTATGACTATAGAAGAAGGATAACGAGTACAACCAGGGCCCCACGCACCACTTCCGTGATATCAATGAGTCTTCCACATCTGAGGCACTTGTATTTACGTCGAAGTGAATTCGATTCTTTAGAAATTTCCTCACACAATTTACCCAACATCACGCATCTCTACTTAAATGCGAACAAACTTTCATCCCTGAGTTTCGTGAAATCGTCCCCAAAGAAGTTGACTCATCTATTCCTGGATCACAACGCCCTGTCGAATTTTGCTGTTGGATCAATGGAAAACCTCAAAGTGCTGCATGTCGATCATAATCCGTTGGAAAGACTGTGCGAGAATGAATACTGCAATCAAGGGATATCTCTGAGGGAAGCGATCAATCTGGAAGAGCTGTCACTATCGGATATCAATCTGAATACGTTCGACGAGGAGGCGCTGGAGGATTTGCGGAAGTTGAAATACTTGGATTTGTCGCAGAATCACATTTCTAAAATTCCCCGACACGCGTTGGACAATCTGACGAGTCTGGTCGTTTTGAAACTGAACGAAAACGAATTGACAGGTATGCCAGATTTTTGTAATTTGATTAAGTTGCAGGAGCTGGATTTGAGTCACAACAAGATTCAGAATATCAGTCAGAGAATGTTCTGCAATTTTACGAATTTGGAGAGTATTAATTTGGGATATAATGAAATCATCGAGATGACATCAGGAGTCTTTGACATGCTGACGTCGTTGAGGGTGTTGAATCTTTCGGGGAATAAGATTACAACACTGCCAGTACACTGGTTTACAGTAGGCAAGAGCCGTGGGCCACTTGAGTTCATCAACCTCGGGGGGAATCCATTGGCAACTATACCGTTGAAGAGTTTGGAGAATTTACCAAAAAACATGAGTATCATTTTCTGACTGCTATCTAACGACACTCCACGTCACTGAACGAATATCAAAAATATGTATGCGTAATCACAAATGTATCTTTCGTAATGATTAAAGATGAATTATTGGTCAGCAACTTTTGTGCTTCTTCTGTTGTTATATGTGCCCTGATTGACAATAAATATCACTGAGAATACATGAAAAGAGACAAAAGAAAGAGAAAAAGAAGACTAACTATTCAATTGTTCTTTTAGATTATGGGAAAGGTAAGTGTCAAGGACGGAATCCATTGATAACTTTCTACTTGAGAAGTTTTGGAAATTCACGTTGAGCGACGAGCAGCATTTCTGGACTATCTTCTAACGATTCTTCACATAACCGATTTTTGAGATGATTTTTTAAGATGTTCATGCAAAGTTGTCTGATAACAAGAATACCGTATTGTCTTTTCGGAGTAGGTTGACCATGTCAGAATCCATGACGTTTTGTGATACTTTGGTCCAAAGACCAAATGAGTATTGTAGGTCTGAAGAACAAATTGTCGACGTTTTCAGAGTTGGGTCTTTCTCTATATTATAACAATCCAAATCGACTTCTGGTGATGAAAATTGGGTACTCAAAATTGAAACTCCGCAATTAAGGGTCACGAGGATCAAAATCAGGTTCATGAGGGTCAGAATAAGGATCACCAGGGTCAGATTAGGGGTCATGAGGGTCAGATTAAGGGTCATAAGGGTTACGAGGTTCAAAATGAGATTCGTGAGGGACAGAATAAGTGTGATGAGGATCAGATTAAGGGTCATAAGGGTCAGAGTGAAGGTCACGAGATTCAAAATCAGGTTCATGGGGGTCAGAATCAGAGTCAGCTTGGTACCGTTATTTGGGCCCTTGATTTGACCCTTGTGATCCTCATTCTGACTCTTGTGACCCTTATTCTGACCCTCATGACCCTTGAGACTCTTAATTTCGGCGTTTTAATTTCGAGTACCAAATTTTTATCGACAGAAGTCGATTTGGATTTTTATAATATAGAGGGATACCCTCGCCCCATCTCCCGGCTTCACTCCAATTCCATTTCCCCACTATATCTCTAGATGGCTCTGCCAATGCATTTTAGCTTTCGCCTTACCAACTGACATTGTGACATTTTCAATATATTTTTCGAAATAAAAATTATTATTATTATTCTCTTTGGAGGCACTTTCGACCCCAAAAATAATCAGTGGAAAGGGATGACAATCATATGAATGGTCGGCTAAAATAGCGAAAATTTAAACGAAGTCATGAATGTTATCGTTATCCTCTTCCGAACGAGGAAAAACCAATGAGTTTTAATTCTAGAAAAAGACAGAATCGCTCCACTGATAACAGTATATAAATTCAAGGCGTATGCAACTTTTGGCCAGACCACTGTCGCCTCTTCTTGAATCACCAGACCAAGAAGCCCGCGCGTTAACTTTTGATCAGTGAATTTTCGCGCTAAAATGAGACTCTGTAAAGTGTTAATAGTATTGACTTCTATTCTTCCATTAGATAATAGTGAATTTGTGAGATCTACGTCTGATTACATACCAGTTTGTGAGCGTTTCGATAAGTCCCTCGATCTTTCGATCGGTCGTTTCGCAACCAGCAGTCCTTCATATCCGTACGCACCGTTTATTTGCATCAATTTTGCGGGAAATAATATAACACGTTTTCCCGACAAGAATCGTACTCCGCAATTAGAGTACTTGAATTTGGCTGGATGTAAGCTTACTGCCGAACTTTTATCGTCTTTTGAACATCCAACTGTGAAGACTCTCGTCCTTGACGAAGCCATTGCACGAGCCCACCCCAGAAATGAATATGAACGGGGAGGAAGATATAGTACAGATTCACTGAATCTTTCACTGAAACTTCCACAACTCAGAGAGCTATATTTACGCGAAAATAATTTGGAATCAGTGTGGATTCCGTCATGGTCAGACACTCTTCCGGAGATCACTCATCTTTATATGAACAACAACAAATTTACGTCAACGAGTTTTTTATCGACATTTCCGAAGAAACTGACTCATTTATATCTTGATAAAAATCGTCTGCAAATGTTTAGGACTGGATCGTTGAAAAATCTTAGAGTGCTGTATCTAGATCATAATCCGTTGGGCTGCGTATGTCGACAGGCGTCTTGTCCCCGAGGGATATGGCTGAGGGATGCCATCAATCTGCAAGAGTTGTCATTATCGTCTGCAGGTCTTTCCCTATTTGAAGAAGATGCAATGGAGAATTTGACAAGTTTGAACTATTTGGATATGTCGAATAATAAATTATCGAAAATTCCGGAAGGGGCTTTCAGAAATCTGACTAGTCTCGTGGTTCTCAAATTGGATGACAATACATTGACACATATTCCAGATCTACGCAATTCAAAAAAATTGGAAGAATTGAATTTGAGTCGCAATGCACTTCATGATATCAGTCAGCAGAGCTTTTGTAACTTGACAAATTTGAAACGTATTGATTTGTCGCATAACGAGATCGCCGAGGTAACACCTGGAGTCTTTGATAGGCTGGCGTCATTAACAATATTGGATCTCTCGTGGAACAAGCTCACAGGATTTCGGCGAAATTGGTTCATTTCGCGGCGTCGAAGTGGCCGAGTGCCTGTTGGAAATCCGATTAACTTGGAATATCTGGATCTATCGAATAACGACTTACAGAAAATTTCTCATCGGGTTTGCCGAAATCTAACGAGCCTCCGGGTCCTCAAATTGAGTGATAATGCATTGCAAGACATTCCAAATCTATCCCACTTGAAAAAATTGGAAGAATTGAATTTGAGTAGTAATGCGCTTCGTGATATGGGTCGGAGAATCTTTTGGAACTTGACAAATTTAAAACATATTGATTTGTCGCGAAACGAGATTGTTGAGGTAACACCTGGAGTCTTTGATACACTGTCGTCATTAATGACATTGAATCTCTCGTGGAACAAGCTCAACCAACTTCCGCACAATTGGTTTATTTCGCAAAGTGACGGAGTGCTCGTTGAAAATCCAATGAAATTGGAGTACCTGGATCTATCGAATAATGAATTATGGATAATTTCTCGACAGGCTTTCCAACATCTGACGAGTCTGATGGTTCTCAAATTGAGCAATAATGTATTGATCAATATTCCAAATCTATGTGATTTGAAGAAACTGGAAGAATTGAATTTGAGTAGCAATGCACTTGATAGTATCAGTCAGGAAACCTTCTGTAACTTGACAAATTTGAAACAAATTGATGTGTCCGATAACGCAATCGCTGAGATAACACCTGGTGTCTTTGATATGCTGCCATCATTAACAACGTTGGATCTATCGAATAACAAATTACGGAGAATTCCTCAGCGGGCCTTCCAAAATCTGACGAGTCTCTTGGTGCTCAAATTGAGTAATAACGTATTGAAAGACACTCCGGATCTATGCAACTTAACAAAACTGGAAGAACTTGATTTGAGTCGTAATGCCCTTCATAATATCACTCAGCGAACCTTCTGCAACTTGAGAAATTTGAAACGTATTGATTTGTCTCATAACGAGATCGCGAAGGTGATGCCTGAGGTCATCGATAGGTTGCCGTCATTAACAAGACTGGATCTCTCGTGGAATAAGTTCAATGCTTGCACAGAATTTGAAGATTTGGAAGCTGCTGAACACCTGGAGTACTTGAATTTGGCAGGGAACATGCTGCCGCTTGAATTCATCTCGTCTTTTGGACATGCAACTCTGGAGACTCTGGTGCTGGACGAAGTCATTATCGAGATGCAGTTCTCCCGTAGTGCATGCAACGACGAGGGAAGCATAAGCATCTCGGAAGGTTCAACAGAAAGAGCTTTTGTTGTATATAATCCAAAAATTTCATTGATAATTCCACAACTCAGACACCTGTATTTGCGCCAAAATAATTTGGAATCAGTACAGAATGTGCGGTGGGCATTCAGTTTGCCAGAGATCACTCATCTTTACTTGAGTAACAACAGACTTACGTCTACAAGTTTTTTATCATCATTTCCAAAGAAACTGACTCATTTGTATCTCGATGAAAATCGTCTGCAGATGTTTAGGACTGGATCGCTGGAAAATCTCACAGTGCTGCATCTAGATCATAATCCATTGGGCTACGTTTGTGGAAGGGCGTATTGTCGCCAAGGGATACGGCTGAAGGATGCAATCAATCTTCAAGAGCTATCATTATCTTCTGCTAATCTGTCCCTATTGGAGAAAGACGCGATGGAGAATCTGACGAGTTTAAAATACTTGGATATATCGAACAATAAATTATCGAAAATTCCTGAAGGGGCCTTCAAACATCTGACCAGTCTCGAGGTTCTCAAATTGGATGGCAATGCGTTGACAGATATTCCGGATCTACGCAAATCGGAAAAATTGGAAGAATTGAATTTGAGTCGCAATGCTATTGATAATATCATTTCGGAGACCTTCTTCAACTTGACAAATTTAAAACACATTGATTTGTCGCATAATGAGATCGCCGCGGTGGCATCTCGAGCCTTCGAGCTGCTGCCGTCATTAACAACATTGAATATCTCGTGGAATCAGCTCAAAACACTTCCGGAGTATTGGTTCGTTTCAAAAATTGCCCAAACGTGGAATGAAAATCGAGGGAACGTGCGTCTGAAAAATCTTAATGTTCTCAAGGTTCTCAAATTGGAGAATAACGTATTGATGGATATTCCCGATATCTGCAATTTTCAAAAGTTGGAAGAGGTAGATTTGAGTCACAACGCGCTTCGGAGTATCAGTCAGCAAACCTTCTGCAACTCGACATATTTGAAACACATTAATTTGTCCCATAATGAGATAGTCGAGATAAAACGTGGAGCTTTCGAGGTCCTGCCGTCATTAACAACACTGGATATCTCGTGGAATAAGCCTAGAACATTTCTGCAGTAGCCTCTGAAAAGTACCCAAGCGCCTGTATTATCTATCGCTGTCACAGAAAATCCATTCCAAAAACAGAGTTAATTGGGCAGAACAATTCGCCAAAAACAAATAGGATCTCTTCCAAAGCAGCATTTACAGGGTTGGGCGGAGGGGGAGTTTGAAACGGACAGGGAGTCCCATTGTTCTCGAGCCCTGATTCAATGCCTGAACACGAAAATGTTTAATACACTTTTAAAAAATCCAGTGTAACGATTTTTTAAGCCTCTATTCCGCTCATCAAGTAATGTAATATGACGTTTATGTATGTTTTTAATATACTGTAATCTTTTGTTGACAGTAATTGGAAAGAAAGAGAAATTCATTTCAGTAGCGAAGTGGTAAAACAATACAAGTCAATTTTAACTGTTGACCAGTTTTCAGTGAATATCTCGGAATCTAAGGGAGGTAGCAAAATTTCTGTTATAACCTTTTTTGTAGAGCCGATTGAGAGCTACAACAAATGTAATTACGAAAATTTTGCTATCTCCCTTAGATTCGGAAATATTCCTCAAAAACTCAACTGGGAGATGTCAACTTGACCCGTTTTACCACTTCGCTACTAATTTCTACTGAAAATGAATGATTGTTTACCCATTTTTATGGTTGTTCTGTTGTTATAAATGCAGTGTTCAACAATAAATATATTAAAAACATGTAGAAGGAAAGAATATAATAAAAAAAATTGATCCTCCTTAGACACTTTAATTTTCTCTCTAGAAAGAAAGCTAAGTATTTCAAAAATCTTTCCATTTAGGGTGACTAATGAATATCACTCGACAATGACGAAGAATATGTTCTATCAAATTTCATCGTCAACCGTCTCCTGATTCACCACATTGCGGGAACAATCCCACGAATAAACGATCAATAAAACTCAATTAAAAGAAACCAATTTTTAAGCTGTAGAAATACATTATCATTCAGAGAATCTACACGTAAATTACGCTCAAACAAAGCGTTCTTTCAGCTTCATTAAACGCATTTCAAGCGTGAGAAATCGTAATTGACGATCTTAATAATTAACAAAAAATAACATCCGGGTTTACGCGTGAAATAATTTAGTTTCTTTGTCATTAATTATGGATAAATAAACATAAAATACGGAAAAACTCATTTTCGCATAAGAATCGTAAATTGCATTTAGGTCACGGCTCCCCATCAATATTAAATTTCTGTAATATTACAAGAATTTGACCCTTCCATTAATGAGGGTTTAAAATATGTTGATTCAATTTTTCAAATAATATAATATTAATAATCTGATTTTTACGAATAATGATGTACTCAAAATTTGTTAATATGAAAATATAAATTTACTACACTGAGAACAAAAATTTCTACTTCTTTTTACTGGTTAAACGAACACCAAGGCGAGAATACACCGAGAGATTAGAAGTGAAACGATAACAAATGAATTCCCACATCATCAGTTGCATGCCACGGAACTCATAAAAATTTTCCATAAAATACATTTTTGCATCGGTAATAACCAAGTTCTAATATTTCAAACGCCTGTCGTACAAAATAATATGCGAAAAAAATTGCCCCGACGACTTCAATAATGAAAATCATTCCATCGGACTTCCTCAAAAGGTTGTAACAGCTGCGGTCTCGAACGATAGCTTATTTGAACAGACAAAAGCGGTGTTCATATCTCACCTATAATCACCTATAATGAGCACATGAGCACTGCTATGGCCATTAGCACAGGTTATAAAATCAAGAGAAATTCGAGTTCTGGCCAGAGCACGTGCGCCATTTCGGATAATAACCCCGCGAGTCAACTGAAAATCAGCGAATTTTCGCACTAAAATGAGACTCCGTAAAGTGTTACTGACACTAACTGCTCTACTTCCAATAGTGATCAGTGAATTTGTGAGATCTACGTCTGATTACGTACCAGTTTGTCCCCATTACTATAGCTACATAGATCTTTCGGTCGGTCGTTTCGCAACTAACAGTCGTTCATATGCGAATGCACCATTTATGTGTATCAATTTTGCGGGAAATAATGTGACATCTTTTCCCCGCAAGCATCGTAACGCAGCATTAGAGTACGTGAATTTGGCTGGAAGTAAGCTCCCCCCCGATTTTTTATCGTACTATGAACATACAAACGTAAGGACTCTGGTGCTTGATGAAGCCATTTCGGTAATCCATCCCCTCAAGGATGGATATCCGGTTGAAGGGTTTACGTTATTCGTGAGCGATTCACCTTCCACTGGCAGCGAGAGCACCGACCCATCGGGAAAACGATACATTACGTATTCACTGAAAATTTCACTGAAATGTCCACAGCTCAGAGATTTATATTTACGGGAAAATAATTTCGAATCAGTCTGGGTTCCGTCATGGTCAGACACTCCAGAGATCACTCATCTTTATATGAATAACAACAAACTCACGTCCACCAGTTTTTTATCGATATTTCCGAAGAAACTGACTCATTTATATCTCAATAACAATCGTCTGCGAACTTTTGCGACTGGATCGCTGAAACGTCTCAAAGTGCTGCACGTGGATCATAATCAACTGCGCTACGTATGCGGAACAGCGTACTGTCCCCGAGGGATATGGCTGAGGGATGCCATCAATCTGCAAGAGTTGTCATTGTCTTCTGCTGATCTTTCCGTATTTGAAAAAGGCGCAATGGAGAATCTGACGGATTTGAAGTACTTGGATATGTCGAATAATAAATTATGGAGAATTCCTGACAGGGCTTTCAGAAATCTGACTAGTCTCGTGGTTCTCAAATTGGATGACAATGCTTTGATAGATATTCCAGATCTCCTCAATTCGAAACAATTGGAAGAATTGAACTTGAGTCGCAATGCACTTCGTGATGTCAGTCCACAAACCTTCCGCAACTTGACAAAACTGAAACATATTGATTTGTCGCGTAACAAGATCTCTGAGATAACACCTGGAGTCTTTCAGACGCTGTCGTCATTGAGGACATTGAATCTCTCGTGGAACAAGCTCAAACAACTTCCGCAAAGTTGGTTTATTTTGCAAAGTGACGGAGTGCTTGTTAGAAGTCCAATGAAACTGGAGTATCTGGATCTATCGAACAACCAATTATCGGAAATTTCTCCACGAGCATTCAAAAATTTGACGAGTCTGGTGGTTCTCAAATTGGACAGCAATGTATTGCCAAATATTCCGAATCTAGGGAATTTGAAAAATTTGGAAGAATTTAATTTCAGTAGCAACGCACTTCGTAATGTCAGTTACAAAACCTTCTATAACATGACAAATTTGAAGCACATTGACTTGTCGCGTAACGAGATAGCTAAGATAACGCATGGAGTCTTTGATATGCTGGCGTCATTAATAAAGTTGGATCTCTCGTCGAACAAGATCACAAAACTTCGGCGCAATTGGATTACTTCCCGCAGTGACCCGGCGCCTGTCGGATATCCAATCAACTTGGAGTATCTGGATATATCGAATAACGACTTGCAAAAAATTCCTCAGAAGGCTTTCCAAAATCTGACGCGTCTCTTAGTTCTCAAATTGAATAATAATGTATTGAAAAATGTTCCAAATCTATGCAATTTGAAAAAATTGGAGGAACTGAATTTGAGTCGCAATGCAATTTATGATATCAGTCGGGAAAAATTCTGCAACTTGACAAATTTGAGGCGTATTGATCTGTCTCATAATAAGATCACTGAGATCGGACTTGACGTGATCGATGCCCTGCCGTCATTAACGACGTTGGATCTCTCGTGGAATAAGTTCAATATTTGCACAAATGCTGACAATTTCGAAGTTGGTGAACATTTGAAATCGTTGAATTTGGCTGGCAACACGCTGCCACTTGAGTTTTTGACGTCTTTTGGACACGCAACTGTGGAAACACTGATGCTCGATGAAGTCATCACCAGAAATCAGCTATCCAAAAATACATCGAAGGACGGAGGCAGTGTAAACATCTCGCAAGGATCACACAGCACATATGAGCTGAAAGTTTCGCTGGTAATTCCACAACTTAAACACCTATATTTACGCAAAAATAATTTGCAATCATTAAGGATTTCGCGATGGTCACACTCTCTTCCGGAGATCACTCATCTCTATTTGAGCAGCAACAAGCTTACATCTGCGAGTTTTTTAGCAGTGTTTCCAGAGAAACTGACTCATTTGTATCTTGATGATAATCAGCTGCAGACGTTCAGGACTGGATCGCTGGAAAATCTCACGGTGCTGCACCTAGATCATAATCCTTTGGACCAAGTGTGTGGAAAGACAGTTTGTCGCCAAGGGATGAGGCTGACCGATGCAATCAATCTGCATGAGCTATCATTATCTTCAGCTAATCTGTCCATATTGGAGAAAGACGCGATGGAGAATCTGACGAGTTTGAAATACTTGGATATATCGAACAATAAATTATCGAAACTTCCTAAAGGGGTCTTCAAAAATCTGACCAGTCTCGTGATTCTCAAATTGGATGGCAACGCATTGACAGATATTCCGGATCTATGCAACTCGGCAAAATTAGAAGAATTTAATTTGAGTCGCAATGCTATTAATAAGATCATTTCGGAAACATTTTTCAACATGACAAATTTAAAACACATTGATTTGTCGCATAATCAGATCGCTGCGGTGGCATCTCGAGCCTTCGACCTGCTGCCGTCATTGACAACATTGAATATGTCATGGAATCAGCTCAAAAAACTTCCGGAGTATTGGTTCGCTCCAAAAGTGTACGGAGTGAGTAGTGAACATCCGACGAACTTTGAATACCTGAATATGTCGAAAACAGCAGTTATGTACAACTCGAGAGTTCCAGATGTTCTCGAAGTTCTCAAGTTGGAGAATAATGCATTGGTGCAGATTCCCGATCTGTGCAATTTCGAGAAGTTGGGAGAATTAGATTTGAGTTACAATGCGGTTAAGAATATGAAGCAGCAAAGTTTCTGTAACTTGACGTATTTGAAACACATTAATTTGTCTCATAATGAGATGGTTGAGATGAATCATGCAGCCTTCACGATGCTGCCGTCATTAACAACTCTGGATGTCTCATGGAACAAGCTTAGAACATTTCAGTACTGGCGATTTTCTCCAAAAAATTGTCAAGCGCCTGTGCTATCTATCAGTGTCACAGGAAATCCATTTAACAATATAGAGTTAATGAGATAGAAGAATTTGCCAAAAACAAATAGGATCTGTTCGAAAACATTTTACATATTGCCAACGAGGAGGTCGAAATGGAAAGGGAGTCCCATTGTTCTCGAGCCCTGATTCAATTCCTGAACACGAAATATTGAATTTTAGAGAACGAGGGCTGGGATATAAGGACCCAAAAATAAGTATCAGAACGGAGTGTCAGAACATGGGGGGCATAAATTAACTAAATATAAATCATGTTTAGCAAAACGAAATTTATATTTAAGGATTTCTGTGTGAATGCCAGATTTGTATTATTTGAGAATGTTTGAGGAATTGGATTTATGTCACAACAAGATTCAGAATAACAGTCAGAGAATGTTTTGTAATTTTACAAATTTGAAGAGTATTAAGTTGGAGTATAATGGAATCGCTGAGATGACAGAGGGAGTCTTGGTTTAGCAATATATGATCATGGTCGACCTGAAATTCTCCATCTCGAGGAGAATCCGTTGGTTAATTTACATTTGAGTAGTTTTGAACATTTATCTGTAATGATGAGCATCAATTTCGGAGAATTGTCTAACGACACTTCATATTTTGAAATATTCTTGCTAAATTATTGTGTAATAATACCAAACTATTGTATTGTCTTTTCATATTTCGGTTCAGTCTGTCTCAATGTATTTATTGTTCACAATGATTGAAGATTATTTACCAATGATTATTTGACAACTTTTATGGTTCTTCTATTGTTACGAATCGTTTGTTCGACATGAAAAGTATGTAAGCAAGCTGACGTGAGCATCGTAAATGACTAATTCTCATCTTATCAGTCACCTTTGCCGAAAATAATGAAAATTTCCATTAAAACATACTTTTCCATTAGCGATAAAGAAGCCCTGCAGGGAATGAATATATACAGGTATCAAGAAGTGATCAAACGCCTTTTGCGAGTCTGATAAACTTGGAATATCTAGATATATCGAATAATAACTTATCGAGAATTCCTCGGCGCGCATTTCAAAATTTGACGAGCCTCTTGGTTCTCAAATTGGGTAATAATGAATTGAAAAATATTCCAGATCTATGCAATTTGCAAAAAATTGGAAAAATTGAATTTGAGTGGCAATGCACTTCATGATATCAGTGAGCGAACCTTCTGTTGAGCGAACAACATTGGATCTCTCGTGGAATAACTTCATAATTGTCACAAAAGTTGACGATTCCGGAGCTGTTGAACATGTGAAATAGTTGAATTTGACTGAGAACATGCTGCCGGTTAACGTTTCATTGTCGTTTAGTCATCCAACTATAGAAATTTTGATGCTCGATGAAGCCATTGCAGGAATTCAGCTCTCCCGAAATACATCGGCGGACGACGGAGGTATGAACGTCTCAGAAAATTCATCTTACATTCCCATCATGCAGTCTCAGTCAATGGAAAGAACAAATATTACCTATACCCTGAAAATTGAACAGAAATTTCCACAACTCAGACACTTGTATTTACGCAAAAATAATTTGGAATCAATGTGGATTCCGTCATGGTCAGGCTTCCCGAAATCACTCATCTTTATTTGAGTAACAACAACCTTACATCCACAAGTTTTCTATCGACATTTCCAGAGACACTGATTCATTTATTAAAAAGCCGAAAATCTCGAGATCCAGGCAAAATAAATCGTCCCGGAATTGTGACGAGATGCACCGATCCAATGTCTTTCGAGATTGCGACGATTCCAAAACTTTCGATGTTTTTCCAGACCGTGATGATCTCTTCAAAATAATTCTCCACTAGTCTCGACGGCATGACTAAATGCGACACAGTCGGAGAGAAAGTCGGCCCATGAAACCGCAAATATGTAAAAACTCGAACAGGGTACACGGAGAGAAATTTTTGATTAAAATTATCCTACCGTTCTATAAAAGTGTATCATGAGTCATCGTTTCCTCATTTCTATCCCGAAATTTAGTAAAAATTAATATATGATGAGCAAATTTTATTGTACGTTAGAGAAATTTATCCTGATAAAAATAAAAATTACTGTACCGGTAGGGTAAAATACAACCGTTCTAGAATTTTCGTCAGGATAAAATTTCTCTAACGTAGAATAAAATTTGATCATCATATTAATTTTTACTAAATTTCGGGAGAGAAATGAGGAAACGATGACTCATGATACACTTTTATAGACCGGTAGAATAATTTTTATAACAAATTTCTCTCCGTGTATATATGGCAAGGAAACTAAATATTGCGTTATAATACCCGAAATATTGTATTATCTTTTCATAATTTGGTTCAGTCTGTTTCGATATATTTTTCATAATGAATAAAGATCATTCGACAATGATATAACAATGATTATTCAACGAACTTTATAGGTCTTCGATTGTTATAAATCCTTTGTTCGGCAATAAATATACGAAAAATATGTAATTAATCTGACATGAGCATTGTAAATGAATAATTCCCATGTTATCAGTTGCCGTCAATGGTGAGAATTGCCACTAAAATACCTTTTCCCAATAGTGATAAACAAGCCCTACGGGCAGTGTACCTGGGAAACACCTTTCATGTAAAATAATATTCGAGAAAAACATCGCTCTAATGAGTTCATTAACTCACATTCTTCAATCGGACTTTTCCAGAAAGCTGTAACAGCCGCGGAGTCGAGTGCTAGTTAATGTGATAAATAGATAGAATTGGTGTTCCTATCTCACACTACAAATAATAAATTTGTACCATACGAGCATTGTCATGACCATTGGCGCTGTCTATGAGTTCAAGGTAGATCCAAGGTCTCGTCAGGACACGTGTATTTTGATAAGAAACCCGTGAGTTAACGATGTTCAAGCGATGACGAAATGTAGGTGGTGAGGTGGAGGGGAATCTATTGTATTCTTTCAGACAGCCAATTCCTGAACACGAAAATTCGGTTCCCTTCAATTAAATAATACGACCATATTTAGATTCTTCTGTAGTCAAATAATATTTCTTATGACTATTTAATTTTTTTCCTACATTCTACATGCATGAACAAATTTTTACAAGCAATTTTAATAATAAATGGAAAATAATTAATTTATGGAAAAAAAGTGGCAACGTCGGCCCGACGCCAGGTTTTTTCCCCAGAGTTGGTCGGCCTGCCACTTTCACATTCAGTCTATGTATTTTTCCACAAGACCCTTAAGGCTCAAACTTTAAAAAAAAATCAAAAAAGTTGAACTCTTTATTTGAAATTTTCCTATTAAATTCTACAATATTTTTGTTCGAAATTTATATATTTGAATAATCAAGCTTCAATCACATGGAATCAATAGTGCACGCATCAGGTGTAGATAATCAATTAAAAATTAATAAACAATTTAATCGATTCAAACAAAGAATTATTACGCTTCAATAAATTATTTTCTGTCGCCATCTAAACAATGATACCACATTTCTAACGAATAAAGTCTTTACTTGTATGGAGAAAGCATTTGTTTACATTTATAAAACTATTTATTAGATATGAATTTATGACACGCCGTGCAATAAGTCGAGTTTATCGCACGATGTGGCATAAAATAGTATAGACCACTCGGGCATAAACTTCGTTTTCAATGAATGTGAATACAGACCTCGCCTTCGGCTCGGCCTGTAAACTTCACATTCGTCGAAAATGAAATTTGTGCCCCTGTACTCTAATGTACTAAAACATTCTGAATAAATTCTCTGAATAAATCCATTATGCAAAAACGTAATTTCTCTTTTCGATGGTTCTGAATTCAATAGTTCAAACCTATTTATGAAACTTCTGGCAAATGCTATAACAGCTGCGGAGATGAATAATAGTGTATGGGAATAGATAAAAATGGTGTTCGTAACTCAAGTAAACAGTAAAACACAGATTTGTAGGACGTCACATGAGCATTCTAATGGCCATTGCGGCAGCCTATAAATTCAAGGTAGACCCAAGGCCTGAATCAGAATACGTGCGTCATTTGGCCAAGAAGCCTGCGCGAGTCAACTTTTCATCAGTGAATTTCCGGCATTGCAAAATGAGACTCTGTAAAGTGTTGCTGGTACTGACTCCTCTACTTTCTTTGGTGACTAGTGAATTTGTGAAATCTACGTCTGATTATAAACCAGTTTGTCCATATTTCTGTAACTCCCTCGATCTTTCAACCGGACGTTTCGTAACCAACAGAGAATCACATGTGGACGGACCGTTCCTTTGTATAAATTTAGCGGGAAATAAGAGAAAAAATTATCACCGCACATATAACGATCAATATTTGGAGTATTTGAATTTGGCTGGAAGTGAACTCAATCCCGCTTTTCTAACGTCTTATGAACATCCAAATCTAAGGACTCTGGTGCTTGATGAAGGCATTGCAGGAATTCATCACCCCACAAAAAATTCTCTGGATGTATACCGTTTTTTTCTGGGCAATTCACCTTACATCGATTGGATTTATTCAGACCCATCGGGAAGAAAATGGGTTATATATCCAGTGAAAATTTCCCTAAAACTTCCACAACTCCGGGAATTATATTTACGCAAAATTAATGTGGAATCAGTATGGATTCCGTCATGGTCAGACACTCTTCCGGAGATCACTCATCTTTATATGAATGACAATAAACTTATATCCACGGATTTCTTATCACCCTTTCCGAAGAATCTTACTCATTTATACCTTGATAAAAATTGTCTGCAGGCGTTCACGGCTGGATCGCTGAAAAATCTCAAAGTGCTGCATGTAGATCATAATCCATTGAAGAAGGTATGTGGAATGGCGGCTTGTCGCCGAGGAATATGGTTGGGTGATGCAATCAATCTGCAAGAGTTGTCATTATCTTTTGCTAATCTGTCCATATTGGAGAACAACGCAATGGAGAATCTGACGAGTTTGAAATACTTGGATATATCGAATAATGAATTATCGAAAATTCCTGAATGGTCCTTCAAAAATCTGATCAGTCTCCTGGTCCTCAAATTGGATGGCAATGCATTGACAGATATTCCAGATCTAGGTAATTTGGAAAAATTGGAAGAATTGAATTTGAGTTGCAACGCACTTCATGATATCACTCAGCAAACTTTCTGCAAGTTGATAAATTTGAAACATCTTGATTTGTCGCACAATGAGATCACTGAGATGCCATCTGGGGTCTTCGATATGCTGGCGTCATTGGCAACATTAGATCTCTCGTGGAACAAGCTCATAAAACTTCCGCAATATTTGTTCGTTGCAAGAAGTGACCGAGGGTTCGTCGGAAATTCGATGAACTTGGAACGCCTGAATCTATCGCATAATGAATTATCAGAAATTCCTCAGCGAGTTTTCCAAAATCTGACGAGTCTGGTGGTTCTCAAATTGGACAATAATAAGTTGCTAGATATTCCGGATTTATGCAATTTGAAAAAATTGAGGGAAGTAAATTTGAGTGGCAATGCATTTTACGATATCAATCAGCAAACCTTCTGTAACTTGACAAATTTGAAATATATTGATTTGTCGCATAACGAGATAGCTGACATAAGACATGGAGTCTTTGATACGCTGGCGCCATTAACAACATTGGACCTTTCGTGGAACAAGATCAAAAAACTTCGGCGAAATTGGTTTAACCCCGGAAGTGACCAAGTGCCTGTTGAACATCCGATGAATCTTGAATACCTGGATTTATCAAATAACAATATGCGGAAAATTCCTCGGTGGGCTTTCCAAAATGTGACGAGCCTCGTGATTCTCAAACTCAATAATAATGTATTGAAAGATATTCCAAATTTATGCAGCTTAAAAAAAATGGAAGAATTCAATTTCAGTCATAATGATCTTCAAAATATCTCTCAGAACACCTTTTGTGACTTGCTAAATTTGAGACATATTGATTTGGCGCATAATCAGATCAATAAGATAACACCTGAAGTCGTCGATATACAGAGAGTATCAAGAAGTGATCAAACGCCTTTCGCGAATCTGACAAACTTGGAATATCTAGATATATCGAATAACAACTTATCGAGAATTCCTCGGCAAGCATTTGAAAATCTGACGAGCCTCTTGATTCTCAAATTGGGTAATAATGAATTGAAAAATATTCCACGTCTATGCCATTTGAGAAAATTGGAAAAATTGAATTTGAGTGGCAATGCACTTCATGATATCAGTCAGCGGACCTTCTGTAACTCGACAAATTTGACACATATTGATTTTTCGCATAACGAGATCGCCGAGATAATACCTGGAGTCTTTGATAAGCTGTCGTCATTAACAACATTGGATCTCTCGTGGAATAAACTCATAAATGTTACAAAAGTCGGCGATTCCGGAGCTCTTCAACATCTGAAATACTTGAATTTGGCTGGGAACGTGCTGCCGGTCAATCTTTTATCGTTTTTCACATCTCCATCTGTAGAAACTCTGGTTCTCGATGAAACCATTGCTGGAATTCAGCTCCCCCGAAATACATCTGCGGACGACGTAAGTATAATTTTGGAAAATTCACCTTACATTCCCACCATGCAGTCTCAGTCAATGGAAAGAACAAATATTACCTACGCCCTGAAAATTGAACAGAAATTTCCACAACTCAGACACTTATATTTACGCAAAAATAATTTGGAATCAATGTGGATTCCGTCATGGTCAGACATTCTTCCCAAAATCACTCATCTTTATTTGAGCAACAACAACCTTACATCCACAAGTTTTTTATCGACATTTCCAGAGACACTGACTCATTTATATCTTGATAAAAATCGTCTGCAGACGTTTATGACTGGATGGCTGATGAATCTCAGAGTGCTCCACCTAGATCATAATTCATTGGGCCAAGTGTGTGCTAGCGAATTTTGTACTCAAGGAGTACAGTTGAGGACGGCAACTCATCTGCAGGAGTTATCAATATCTTTTGCCAACATATCCAAATTGGGAATAGACTCAATGGATAATCAGATATATCTGGAATATTTGAATTTATCGAACAATAACATATCGAGAATTTTGCAGAGGGTTTTCAAATATGTAGAGAGTCTAAAGATTCTCAAATTGGACTATAATGTACTGACAGAGATTCCAATTCTAAGCACTTTGAAAAAATTGGAAACATTGAATTTGAGTTGCAATGCAATCCATAATGTCGGTCAGAAAATTTTCATCGACTTGCCAAATTTAAAACATATTGATTTGTCATACAATAAGATCACACACATAAAACCTGAAGCCTTCGACATGCTGCCCTCATTAACAACATTGAATATCTCGTCGAACCAGCTCACTGAACTTCCCTCATATTGGATTTTTCCAAGAATTCAACGAGGGCCTAGTGAAAATTCAGTGGACTTGAAAAATCCAGACACATCGAATGTGTCCACAGAAATTCCTTTTGGCCTGAAGGTTCTCAATTTGGCGAATAATTCATTCACGGATATCCCTGATTTACGCAATTTCAAGAAGTTGGAAGAATTAGATGTGAGTCACAACGCACTTCGGAATATCATTCAGCAAACTTTTCGCAACTTGACACATTTGAGACATGTTAATTTGTCTCATAATGGGATAGCTGCGATAAGACTTGAAGTTTTTGAGATGCTACCGTCATTAACAACACTGGATTTATCATGGAACAGATACAAAAAATGGCTATCATCGCAGGTGTCCTCGAAAATTCGTCTTGCTCTCAAGGTTCTCAAATTGGAGCATAATGGATTGATGGCTATTCCCGATCTATGCCATTTCGACAATTTGGAAGAATTAGATTTGAGTCACAATGCAGTACAGAGTATCCGTCAGCAAAACTTCTGTAACTTGAAACATTTGAAACATATTGATTTGTCAAATAATAAGATAGTTGAGATAAAGAGTGACATCTTCGAGATGCTGCCGTCATTAAGAACAGTGGATGTATCATGGAACAAGCTCAGAAAAATAGTACCCCGGCAATTTGCTCAAAGAAGGTCCAATTCGCTCGATGTATCTATCAAGCTTAGAGGCAATTCATTAATCTACGATTATTTAATTAAAAGTAATGGCCAAAAACAAAGAGAATCTCTTCTAAAGCAGCATTTTAGGTATTGGAGGGGAAGGGGAGGGGGGAGGGGAGGGTCGAAACTAAAAGGGAGTCCGTTGTGCTCGAGCTCTGATTCAATCCCTGAACACGAAAATGTTCAATTTTCGAAAATGAGGGTTAGGATATAAGAATCCAAAAATAAGCATCAGAATAGAGGGTCAGAATATGGGGGCCATAAATTGAGCATCACAATGTGAGAGTCCTATTCTAGAAAGAACATTCACTTAAGGGTGTATTATACCCTTTTCGCCAAAATTCACGTTTTTTGAATTTTTCTGGTAAATTGTTGATCGGATTGACGTGAAAAAATATGCCATTTTTGCGTTTCATTGTTACTTAATGGCTCACGAAATTTCATGATCGTGAAATCATTTTCCTGCGTTTTTTCAAAAACTCTTCGGAAATTCACAAAACTTTAGAAAAAATGCAGGAAAATGAAACTTCGTGAGTTAATCAATAATGATAAAATGCAAAACCGGTATATTATTTCGCGTCAATCCAATCAATAATTTCCCAGAAAAATAAAAAAAACGTGAATTTTTGTCGAATGGCTGTAGTACATTCTTAAATTCGATATTCCTCATTGGTTCCAGTCGTCTGAGGCAGCAAATTTAATTCATGATTAATTTAATTTTGAGATTTTCAATTATGATTGTTACAATTACAGCGCGCGTTCGATCTCGTTAGAGAAAAAGGGTCAGACAATGAGGGTCGGAATGTAAGGGTCAAAAAATGAGGGTCAGAAAATGAAACCTTATTTTCTAACCCTTAGATCCCCGGATTCTTTCATCTTTATATTCTCACCCTCATTTACTGACCTTTATTTTCTGAACTCCAATTTTTGACCCTTATATTCTAACCTCATTTTCTGATCCTTAATTTTTAATCCTTTTATTCCGAACCTCTCTTTTTGGTCCCCATATTCTGACTTCCATTGTTTCTTTCTTATTATACTCACTAGTCATTATCTTTTATTGCTTCATTTTTATTAGTACAATAAAGGTCTCTGACTAACTTTACCATCTCCATCAATTTCGGGACATCCCGAGATAACTCGTTGTGAGCTGACATCGATTCCACTCATTATTTCAGAAGCGAACTGGTAAAACGGTTCAAATCGACTTATCTTCCAGTTGAGTTTTTGAGGAATATCTCCGAATCTAAGGGAGATAGAGAAATTTTCGTAATTACATTTGTTGTAGCTCTCAATTGGCTCTACAAAAAAGTTTATAACAAAAATTTTGCCATCTCCCTTAGATTCCGAGATATTCATTGGAAACTGGCCGCTAGTCAAAATTAACTTGAACAGTTTTACCACTTCGCTACTGATTTTGTCTCAAAAATTTATTTAAAGTTGATCATTATCGAAAATAAAAATAGTATATTGTGTTACTATTGTGTAAAGATGCAGTTTTTGGCACGCACGTGTAACATCCTATTTTTTGTGATCCCTGCCAAGTTCACTGTTCGGAACGGTGATCGGGAAAATGTGGTTGTTTTTGTGCACGAGTGCGGAAAGTTCGAAAGCCGTGCGGAAAACAATCGCTTTACACACACTACACCGTTTCAAAAGGTGCACATTTCAAGAAGATATTACAAAAAAGTTATTTCAAGCGTAATAGTATATTGTGTCACTAGTGCGTAAACTTTTTCGGACGCACGTGTAACACATCCGATTTTTTGTGATACCTGCCGAGTCCACAGGTATCAAGTCCAGGTATCACAAGATATATATGGTTTTTTCATAAATTACACATAAGAAAATCGTTAAATAAGTTTCAATTAAGATCTTAATTTCAGATTTCTTAAAGTAGCTCTATCCTTCGGCCGGGCTACGCTGTACTTTTGAATATTTTCAGTTTTTTAATTTTTCAACTAAATTCCAGGGAAAAAATTTGAAAAAATTCCTACCCAGTCAGTATTATCTAAATTAAATTTCGCAAAATATTGATATTTTTTCAAATATTTCCCTCTTATAAGTAAATAATAAAACTTGTTCGCACAACGGTGAATTATTTTTTATGAGGTGTCAAAAAAATTCTTGATTTTTTCACATCTAATGAAAAAAATTAGATTTTAATCTTTGATTACAATGGAAATGTTGATTCTCACATAAGACACTGGGTTAAATCCTGATTTTTAAACATTTCTTCTTTGAAAAACCAAAACGATAATTAAATCGAGAAAAAAATTAGAATTCCGAATCTAATCGAGTTTTCTGCATTTTTTTTTTCAGTTTTCAATAATCTTTAAATTTACCGTAAGGCTAGAGCTACTTTAAGCGTGAAATACACTCAGTGAGGCGTAAACCACGAACAAAAACCACCAGACTAAATGTAAATTATGTTTTGCAGAACGAAATTTGTTTCGATATTTCTGTATGAATGCCAGATTGGTGTTATTCGAGAATGTTTGAGGAATTGGATGTAAGTCAAAACAAGATTCAGAATAGCAGTCAGAGAACGTTCTGTAATTTTACGAATTTGAAGAGTATTAAGTTGGAATATAATGGAATCGCTGAGATGACGACGGGAGTCTTGGTTAAGCATCAGACGGCGGAGCATTGGTTTACTTCAAGCAATAATTATGTTCCACTTGAAATCCTCAATTTCGGGGGTAAACCGTTGGTTAATTTACCGCTGGTTTGAGTAGTTTTGCACATTTGCCTGTAGCGATCAGCACCAATTTCAGAGAATTGTCTAACGATACTTCATGTTTTGCTTAATTATTGCGGACACTATTAAAATTCCAGGGAATTCTCGTTAAAATTCTGTCTGTTTTTTGCACTGATTCAATGAGATATTTAATATAAAAAAGTCAACAGAGTTCAATTTTTCTACAAGAATACTTGGACATAAATTTTTGCAGTTTTTTCCACTCGGATCTTACAATACAATACAAAACAAAATATAACGGAAAAAACTTGGAAAATCCGTGGCGAATAGTTTTAATAGACAAAATCTCAAGTGAAAAATTCAAACAGAGAAATCGAAATCTATTGACTTTTTCCTATCAAATATCTAATAGAATCTGCGCAAAAAATTAATAGAATTTCAACGAAAATTCTGTACAATTTTAATAGAATCCTCTTAGAATTCCTAGAGTAATCTCCATAGAATTTTCCAAAAATTCTAGTGCCGGCGCTGGAAATTTTATTGAGTGAATTTTGTCTGCAATTTTCACCGAAATTCTCGGAAATTTTATCAGAAATCCCTAGAAATATCACCTTGACAGCACCAGAATTTTTCTAAAGTATTACTCTCCGTGAAGTTACCATAAATAGAAAAATTCTTGTCAAGTTTAAACATTTTTCGACCCAAATTTATTCTCAATAATGTAACAAATTGATTGTACCAATAAATAAAAACCAAATAAAAACAAAGAAATTCATCTTAAATCAGCAAATAGAAGTTATTTTTCCGAGAAAAAGAAATACATGAAACCCTATACAACTCCGGCCTCCCTCCCCCTTGCTGTTTCCTCTCGATGAGACGAGGCAAGTGTCAAGAACCCCCCCATCAATAAAAGTTGATGAACAGCACAAGCCAATCATCATGATGACCACCTCCTCCCTAAAAACCATCACCAAGCCATCCGCAATCTCCATAAACTCCTGCCATTCGTCCCGCCCTCGCCACAATCGCCCTCCGGCTAATCCATCACACCAAGAGCTCCCAAAAGGGAAACATATTCCCAAAAGCAAAGACCAGCCATCATTACCGAACCCCCAGCCTCACCCAATTCCAAATTGTCAATTTCCGTCCGCCTTAAATATTCCTCTCTAGAAATTACAACTATCAATTGATTAAAAGGAAATGAAAAATATATCAGTATCAATAATTGATATCTCATCTACAAAAACTAATTACAAAAAAAGTTTTTTGTTATTACTACATATTTTTTTCTGTAATTATTTGAGCGCATACACTGTTAGAAAATTACTTTTGAGATTTCAAATAATAAATCTTGAAATTTTTAACAATCATTCATTCACACGAAATTTTCAAGTATTTTGTTATTGAAAAATTATTTGAATGCTGGAGTGTTCAATAGAATCGCAATTTCCAGGTTTACATGATAATGAAAATGATTAAATAATTTGAAAATTGAATCAACAATTTCTCTAAATTTTCAATCTACTGGAAATTCAGTTGGATGTGATGCTCAATTTCTGCAATAAGTTTGAAAATTCTAGATGTCGTTGAAATATCAGTGATGATCTAATTCACACAGAAAAACCTAAACGTAAATCACGTTGAAGAAGTCGTTTTTTACTCTCTGAAGCGCAAATAACGCTTAAAAACGCCGTAACTTACGATGATTTCCTTCGTATTTCCGATAAAACGTAATTTACGTTTTGATAAACATAAAAGACGTTTTGTTTATGCGTAAATTACATTTTCCTAAACCTGAATGACATTTCATTAAACGTACGTTACGTTTAGGTTTTTCTGTACGTTTTTTTCTGCACGTTTACGGACGATTATTTATTAAAAAACAGTAATTATCATGATTAATATAAGTGAATTGTAATTCTGACGTTTTTACTTTCTGATATCTAATTCAAAACATCGTATCTTTACCCTCATTTCAATAGAAATATTGGACTAATGATGTCCAACATTTCACCTTGGCTACCCGAGCGTAGGATCATTTACCTCAGCCGCCACATTCCGCCTCTACCGAACCTCGAGATTCGCGAGTGGTGAATCCACGAATCGAAAAATCATCATCATCCCCCGGATGGGCGGGAGCGTCTCGCTCGTGGCTCGCCGTTGTGTCTGGGGTGGAGTAGAGTAAGGGCGAAGCAAGAGTCTAGGGGGCATGCGCCAGGGGTTGGCAGGGACGCGGTTGAACAGCGATAGAGTCTAAAGCTCTGGCACAAGTCCGAGTGGAACAGAAACACACTTCTCTCTCGAAGAAATCGTCCCCCGACCGAAATCCATCATTTTTTGGGCTGATGTTTGACGGCATCAGATGGACAATTGACTCCTCACCCAACCCCGTGACCCTCGTCATGACCCAAAGCCACATCTCGCCCAGATACTTTCCTCATTCGACATGGAAAAGAACTGCTGCTGATAAGCAGATGGCCAATACTTCTCCAGTTACCTCCCCTCCCCCTGTGAAACGCGAAAGAAGAGAGGAGACGAGTGGAACGAAGAGCCCCGGCTTGCTCACCCACGGCCGGTCTTCCTCGCGTCAGTATTACCTCGTACGCGATTGTGCCACCGTCTGATGTGTTTAACGCGTGATATATTTTCATGTGATAACGTGTGTGTGAGTGAACGTGATGGATCAAAACAACTCTAATTACCTCAAAAAGTTAAATCGGTAGTTGTTAATCGTCTGACGCTGACATGCAGACGTGGTTCAATCGGCGGGTGTTAGTGGGGTGGTGAATCATCTGGGGGCTGTCAAGCCGTGGAGTAACGAATTAAATCGAAGCAAGAAAAGCCGGAAGAGAAGCTAACTCCACCGTTGTGCAGCACAAAAGTTGGTTAAAGTTGGTGAAGAAGCATGGAAGTGAGTGATACCGGGAGGTGATGAATCCCTGGACGAACCTGTGAACTTCCGAAGAAGTGACAATGGGCGAATACTACACGAATTGTACACCGGGCCTCGTGGTGCCTATCTGGGGCTCACAAGAAAACATCAGTCTGTCTGACATTATTCTGCGCGGTACAACGTACTTCTTTCTCCTGCTGTATCTATTCATCGGTGTATCGATAATAAGCGATCGTTTCATGGCAGCAATTGAGGTGATCACCTCCAAGGAGAAGGAGCTTTTGGTCCATCGACCGGGACGAGAGCCCCAGATCATAATCGTTCGAGTGTGGAATGAGACTGTGGCCAATTTGACACTGATGGCACTCGGCAGCAGTGCACCTGAGATACTTCTGTCGATAATTGAAATATGGGCGAAGGATTTTCAAGCTGGCGATTTGGGGCCTGGCACGATTGTTGGTTCAGCGGCCTATAATCTGTTCGTTATAATAGCCCTGTGTGTCTTTGTCATACCGAATGGAGAGACTAGAAAGATAAAGCACTTGAGGGTGTTCTTTGTAACAGCTACGTGGAGTATTTTTGCTTATGTGTGGCTGTACATAATACTATCGGTATCGACTCCTGGTGTGCTTGAAGTCTGGGAGGGGATACTTACATTTGCATTCTTCCCGGCTACTGTGTTGACAGCGTGGGTAGCTGACAGAAGATTGTTGATCTACAAGTATCTTCATAAGGGCTATCGGATGAACAAGCGAGGGGTCATCGTGCAGGCGGAGGCTGGTGATTCCGATGGTGGGGTTGAGCTGGAGATCAAGGAGCACGACGGACCGCACTTGTTTGTCGATCGGATTGATGATGAGGGCCCCGAGGCCAGGGAGTTCGAGCAGACCAGGCGGGATTACATCAAGACACTGAGAGAACTCAGGAAGAAACATCCGACTCTACCTCTGGAGCAGCTCGAGGTGATGGCCCATGAGGAGGTCCTTGGAAAAGGACCCAAGAGCAGGGCCTTCTATCGTGTGTTGGCCACCAGGAAGATGGTTGGCGCTGGCAATCTCAGCAGGAAAATCAGCGAACGCGCTCAAAGCGATCTCAGCGAGGTCAAGGCTGAACTGCAGAGGGCTGAGGCTGAAGTCGTTGACATTGAGCACATCAATGCAACCAGAGTTTTCTTTGATCCTGGTCATTACACCGTTATGGAGAACGTTGGGACTTTTGAAGTTGGAGTTACTAGGGTGGGTGGAGATCTCAGTAAGCCATGCACTGTTGATTACTGCACGGAGGACGGATCGGCTGAGGCGGGATCTGACTATGTCAGTGCCAAGGGCACGCTTGTCTTCGAACCTGGGGAGACTAGGAAGACCATTCAGCTGTCGGTTATTGATGATGAGTTGTTCGAGGAGGATGAACACTTCTATGTCAGGTGAGGTTTTCAGTCTTCTTAATGATGCTTTGTTGAAGTCTTGTCACTTGATTCGATGACAATTATTGGTTTATTGGACACCAGGTGAATAAGTAAGATAACTTTCGTGCGAGCAATTGAACTTGGTTTTTAGCAAGATGTGTGGTCACTTCGCATGGTTATATTATTTGAGACGGTCCCTCCGGGAAGAGTCATCTCGTATTATAATACATCCAAGTTACGTCGGTCCGTAATTATAGCAGCAATCAGGCTGCTACGACTATCAACAGATGATCGTAGTCATCCGGAATCGGTTGATGAGTACACGTTGGATGTGCTAATATTAGCCGCATGTTTCTACATTGTAGTAGACGACAATTTTGACGTAATCAGGAAACTATGCGCTGTTGGGGTAATCACAACGGGAAATTTGATTGGACGATGCAGAGGGGTGAATTAACACTGGGTTCATTCCGCCTTCAGGCTATCGCCTTCTCTCGGCTGTATTAGTCCGCGTGAATGAGAGAAATAATACCGGGGAAAAAAGTGAGATCAGCAGGAATACTTTTAGAATTGGATTTCCCAGATTAAATTACGTATTTAGATGCAATTTTCTCGGGTGATGGGATTATCTCGCGGTTCAGCTTTGATTTCAAAGGTGAAGTATAAATAACTGAGTCAAGCTTGTAACTCAAGCTTCACGAGGTTTACTTCGGGGGGATTGCACTGTCCTCTGGGATAACCCGGACTGCTTATCTCGTCTTTGATAATTGCAACGAGATACAGTCACTCACAAACGGTAACACATATTCGTCCGGGCATTGCGGGGAGTAATGGTGAAAATGCCGGGTATAACGTACCTTTGCTAATTAAACTGAACTACACTTGGCGTTCTCCAGTGACCTGGTCTTCGAAGTTTCAAACAATTACATATTGCGAGGAGCTGCTAATCAAGTGGTAGCAACTTCTGGGCTTTTGGCCTTTGTTTAATTGAAATTAATCCATTTCCAGGGATGGAGGATTCCGAGGTAATTTGAGAGTGAGGAGCAAGTGGATGTGGGCTTATCGGGTATGACATTTACGCGGAAAATGTTGCGATGGTGAACAACTTTTGATGAAATTTCCGGGTGATATCTTGGAAATTTCTATTAAGTGATATTTTTTGGGATTTTTCGAGGAATTTCGTCACTTAAAATTGCCAATTTCGGGAAAAGACCTCGGGAAAATGTAAATTTTAGTTCAATTAGTTGACGAAAAATAATAAAAATCAGGAAAATTCTGATGAATATATTATTAAATTTTTATTTCATTGAAAATTGCGCATAATTTGGCACTGAATATTCACGTTTAGCTCTATTAAAAATTCTTAGCTGAAATTTTCGGGATAATTTTTGTAAATTTGCATCAACTGACAGTTCTAATAAAATTTCAAGGAATTTCGTCATTGAAAATTCGCAATTTTATGGAAAAATGAACAGAAATTAAAAATTCTAGATCAATTATTCTACGAAAATCAATAAAAATGATAAATATGATACATACAAAATTTAACATCATTTGATAATGAATATTGATGTTTTGATGCGAAATTCAAGTAAATTCCAAAATTTTCATCTTTTTGCTACTCAAAAATTTGAAATCCCGTTGAATTTCCCCTAAAATTTCAATCATCATAATTTTCTCCCTTTGAATTGAATTCAATAATACCATTCTCCCTACAGTTATCCCAAAACCATTCTTGAAATTTCAATTTTTACCCTCTAAAATTGAAAAACATCCCCTCCACCACCCAATCCTCGTACTCAACCCCCAAATCTCCAGACATCCGCAAAAAAATAACATGAAATTCGAGTCGACCAGGTACACAAACCGCTCTCAATTGATCCCCATCTCCAATAGAACGACGAAACAACATTAAATATTGACTCGCTATAATCACCCCTCACGAACAGTGATCCCCCGAATCACGACATCCCCGAATAAATCCTCACCGCAAGATCCAACAAACAGATTACCATGAGAATGTCTTCATCATGTCCCATGCAAGAATTTCTCCAGACATTGGCGTTGTGACCTGAGATTGCCATCAGAGTCGGCACAATTTTTTGACCGGAGTCGTCTCGTGTCGATGGCCCTGATAATAACTGGCTGATGTAGGTCGGAGGACCCCTCTCCCTCCCATGCCCCCCCCCC